CGTTGGCGGCGCAATGCTGCCTAAGTTTCTCAGCGACCTCAGCCAGGACTTGGTCGAAGTGACTTTAGAGCTCAACGACGACAACGACGAGATTGTCTTGTGCAGCGTCGCTCCGGCGGCCGACGACGTGTCGGCGGCAGACGGGATTCTGCCGCGGAGCATGTCGGCGACGTCCAGGAGAATTCGGCGGACATTCGGGTGGCTGAGATCGGCGTCTTCCAGGACCACGGCGTCAAATTCCGAGCCGGTGGAGTTCGCTCTCTCTGCTCGCGAGGCTCGCCGGCTCAAAGCCAAGCTTCAACGGACGAGATCGAGCGCGCGGCGAGCTCTCGACGGGCTAAGATTCATCAGCAGGACGACTGTCGGCGCAAATGGAGCCGAGGAGCAGTGGAAGCAAGTGGAGGCGAGGTTCGAGTCGCTCGCCGACGACGGCTTGCTAGCTAGACCAGACTTCGGTGAGTGTATAGGTAAGTTTCTCTTAACTAATTCAATGAGCTTAAATTTTCTGTTTGGTTCCCGAGAAAATTGACGTATTTTGAAGGGATGGTGGACTCGGAGGAGTTTGCGGTGGGGATATTTGACGCATTGGCGAGGAGGAGGGGACAGAACATCACCAAAATTACGAAAGAGGAGCTTCGCGAGTTTTGGTTGCAAATTTCAGACAACAGCTTTGACGCGCGCCTTCAAATTTTCTTTGACATGTGGGTCTCTCTCTATCTCAGCCGTTGATTAAGTTTCTTGTAATTGCGTTTCTAACAAATCGACGGTTCAGACGGTGGAGCTCATTTTTTTTATTTATTATTTTTTTTGTAATTACCGTGGGTAAATTAAATTAAATAGGTAAAAGTAAACACACAGATTTATGCACTGAACAAAAACAAATCAAGTGGATGGTTTAGCTCTAGTCTATTTTGGGGTGTTCGGGTTGGGTGGGTTTTGCCTTTTGCAGTTGCGCATTGTTTTTGTGTGTGTTTTTGTGTTTAGTTGACCAAAAGTGATGAATTTTGGCCCCATGGGTTACAAGCTATGTTGTGTCTTGTTTGTGTTCTATCTAATTCAAGCTACCTTTCCATAAACACCTCTGAAAAATTAGGTTAAATGCTTTTCAAATGCCTTTTGTCATTTGTGGTTGTGATTTTGCTGCTTTAAGAAAAGTTATTATTTTCCTATTAATATTTTCGAATTTGGAATATTTTCAGGGCCGATAGCAATGAAGATGGAAGAATCACAAGGGGAGGAGTGCAAGAGGTAAAAAAATAAAAATTCTTGACTGCGGGAAACTAATAAAATCCCATCTAATACTGCTTTTTTAACAAGTTGTTTATTCTTCACAAAGACAAATAAATGCTGCTTTCATTCAATTGTTACAGCTTATAATGCTCAGTGCTTCTGCAAACAAGCTATCTAAGCTCAAAGAACAAGCTGAAGAATATGCTTCGTTAATAATGGAAGAACTCGATCCTGAAAACCTCGGTTACATTGAGGTAAATTAAAACAAGTCATTAGTCTTAATTCTGGGTCTTGATCAGTCAATTAGTGTCTCTTAATGTACTTTTGCCCTATAATCAGTTATGGCAATTGGAAGCACTGCTTCTACAAAGAGACGTCTACATAAACTACAGCAGGCCACTGAGCACAGCAAGTGTGGCTTGGAGCCAGAACCTGAGCTCCTTTATGCCCAAGAACCTGTTTCGTAGACTGAGCCGTTCGCTTCAGTGTTTCATGCTGGAGAATTGGCAGAGGGGTTGGATTATACTGTTGTGGGTTATTGCCATGGCTTCTCTCTTTGCCTGGAAATTCTACCAGTACAGAAAAAACAGGGCAGCATTTCTGGTCATGCGCTATTGCTTGCCTGTGGCCAAAGGGGCTGCAGAGACTCTCAAGCTCAACATGGCTCTCATCCTCCTACCGGTCTGTCGAAACACGCTGACGTGGCTCCGGTCCACCAGGGCTAGGTCCTTCATCCCATTTGATGACAACATTAACTTCCACAAGGTGATGTATATGTGACAAAGTGAAAATCAACACTGAAAAGGGTGCATTAACTTCCCATTTGTTTTTCATTCAAGTCACAAAAATATTTGACATTTTGTTTTCCTCATTGTGCTGCAGATTATTGCATTTGCTATAGCCGTTGGGATAATCGTTCATGCCGGGAACCATCTGACATGCGATTTTCCTCGCCTGGTAAACTCATCTCCAGAAAAATTTGCCCCACTTTCCTCTGATTTCCATGGCACAAAGCCAACCTACAAATTCCTGCTCACTGGAGCTGAAGGCGTGACTGGAATTTTAATGGTGATTTTAATAGCCATCTCATTCACACTAGCAGCACGTCGGTTTCGGAGGAACATGGTGAGGCTTCCTGCGCCCTTCAACAAGTTGACTGGATTTAATGCGTTCTGGTATTCTCATCATCTGCTAGGTCTGGTCTACGTTTTGCTCCTCATCCATGGAAGCTGCTTGTATTTGGCCCACAAGTGGTACGAGAAAACGGTACGAAATTTGACAGTAAAAATTACAAAACAAGATTTACTTAATGACTCAGAAATTATTGATGCCTTTCTACTTTGCAGACATGGATGTACATCTCTGTTCCATTGTTGCTCTATATCGCAGAACGCAGTGTGCGAACATGCAGATCGCAGCATTATTCAGTTAAGATACTAAAGGTAAGCTAATTTTAGTGTTTTACTCAAATATATTTGTTTATACTTTGAGTTGTTTGCAGTCGAAAGAATTAACAAGAGATTATTGCTATCCGAGTGTCTTAAACAGGTTTCGGTCCTACCAGGAAATGTCATTAGCTTAATCATGTCCAAACCGCCTGGGTTTAAGTACAAAAGTGGACAATACATATTTCTACAATGCCCAACAATCTCCCCATTTGAATGGTGAGTGTGATTTCTACTAAATTCATCATACTGAACCATTTTCAGGAAAATGTTATCATGCACTAATTACTGAACCATTTGTTCATAAATTTCAGGCACCCATTTTCCATTACCTCAGCACCAGGAGATGATCACCTCAGTGTTCACATCCGAACAGTAGGCGACTGGACTCAAGAATTGAAGCGAGTCATTGCTGAGGGAGATGATTCAACATCTGTTGATCATCAAGCGAGACTTGTTCATATAGGAAATCTGGATCAGAGAGGGTATATAACCTAAGCAATTTTACCTTCTGAGATTTAGGTTCAGCGTATGTATGGGAACATTAACGTAGTAGATGAACATCAATGCAGCCAACCCAGATTGTTTGTAGACGGTCCATATGGGGCACCAGCACAGGAATACCGGAACTATGACGTCTTGCTCCTCGTTGGACTTGGGATTGGAGCTACCCCTTTTATAAGCATCCTTCGAGATCTACTTAACAGCACGAAAACAGCAGAAGAACAAATGGTACAATTCATACCCTTTCTAAGCACAATATTTCGGAAATTTTATCGATTTCCCTCTTCTGGGGTACTAAGGTATAATGCATTCATGACCTAGGATTCAAATACAGAAACTAGTAGATCAGAAGACAGCCAGAACAGTTTTACATCTTCAAGTTTGACACCCGGGGACAAGAAGAAATCACAGAGGACTACAAATGCTCACTTCTATTGGGTTACCAGAGAGCCTGGCTCTTTTGAGTGGTTTAAAGGAGTCATGGATGAGGTTGCAGAAATGGATCAGAAAGTAAACCTTGACTGTTAATCATTTTACATTATAATTATATTCGTCAAGGATGATCTGCTAAGTGACTCCGTTATGCTCTTCTTGTTTGTTGCAGGGTCAGATTGAACTGCACAACTACCTTACGAGTGTCTACGAAGAGGGTGACGCAAGGTCAACTCTAATCACAATGGTCCAAGCTCTCAACCATGCCAAACATGGTGTCGACATCCTATCTGGCACCCGAGTATGATCTTTCATCACCATTTTCAGTTGACAAAGCAATTATATTCTTAAGCAATTAATGACCCTTTCTATATTGATGCGATGCAGGTAAGAACTCACTTCGCAAGACCAAATTGGAAAGAAGTGTTTACCAAGATAGCTTCCAAGCATCCATATTCTACAGTAGGTAAATATATTCTACCAAAACTAAATTGTCAAAAACATAACCGACACAAGTTTGCATGATTTCATGTTTCTTGCTATTACGAATCGAAATCATGCATCTGCTAAAATAATGAAACATGAAACACAGAAATCAGAATAACCCGTTAATTTGCAGGGGTATTCTACTGTGGGATGCCAATGTTAGCAAAGGAGCTGAAGGTGCTATCACACGAGCTCAGTCACAAGACATCCACACGTTTTGAGTTCCACAAGGAGTATTTTTAAAACTAGAGAACCATCATCAAAAGAACAAGCAGCCATTCTTTCCTACTCATTTTGATTATCGATAGAGGAAAATAATTATATCTGTATAATGATCGTAGCTCAGAAAGATGTAAATGCAATTGTTTGTCATATACGTAGAAATATCATCCAATATAATACAAAGTTCCGAAAAAAATGATACCTTTCCTGCTGATAACTTCTCAAAATTGCACTCTTTCAAGAGGAAAAAACTATTGTTGCAGAATCATTTATCTATGGACGACGATACATTAAGCAGATTAATACAAAGAGATCCAGCTGCAATCATTCATCCTTGATTCTCTTGAGTAGTCTGGAAGCCCAGCTTCGGACACGTCGCTTCAGTGTATAACCAACAACAATTCCAGCAACAAAGCAAAGTGTACAAAGCTTTGAGCACGTCCACAGTGATACTACTTGCCTGTAAGTAGACATGGGAATATTGCCAGTTCAGCGTAAGAAGAAGAAGAGGAAAACAAAGACAACATCCAACGAGCCTTCATAAATTTCTCAAATTTGTTTTTTGTAATTTAGAACATTTACTGCATGTTGTTTGTCAAAACATTTTATATCCAAAAAGCATCAACCTCAACTCCTCTAAACACAATTGCCAAAAGCTTAGTTAGAAGGCATCCATGCAATTCACAGCTTCAAAAACACCAAACCAATTTTGGGAAAATCCCATTTCTCCATTTCGAGAGCACATTTGTTGGTTGCAAATAAATCCCTTCATGGTTTCACAGAGACCATTACAAACGCAACCCTAATGAAATGAAACTGTAAAAGGAAGGAGAAGAGAGATTGGTATGCAGAGGTACCTGGCAGGTCTGTTGAATAGAATACGACACTGATCAGAAGAAGACAAAGCGGCAGCGAGACCTTCACCGGCACGGTGACTGTCAAATGAAGACGAGGACGAAGACGAAGAGTTGCCCAATTTTGGTGGGTCTTTTGAGACTTTGCCAATCAACTTCTGCAAACCCTCCATAACTCAACGTTTTCAGAGACAACGCAGAGAACCCTAAAACTCAGAACACCTAATTCTGTTCACAATTCAGAAACCACTTTCATTATGCATTCCATTCTTGAAGATATGAGTTTTGAGAGGTTTAGGGTTTATTACCGATTCTGACTCGCCCGGTTCAACTTTAGAACACTGCCTCCTCAACGCCCGATTCAGATTTAGAGCACTGCATCGAGCACGCTTTTTGTTCACTTGAAGATGTCAAATTTGTTCACCTCCCCTCCAAATTCTCGCAGGAGGCTCAAGGCCCAAAACAAAACTGGCTTGGGCCCAGCCACTTGGGCTTGGCCCAGTTAAGTAGCCACATATGTATTTACTTTATTAATTTAATTTTATTATTATACATGTATTAATTTCTTAGGAGCTTTGGTTTAAACTCAATAGCGAGTTCTATTGTGGTAAATAATAACTCAATCAGCCCTTCAGAATATCCTTATTATATGACTTACATTTAATTTTTCTTAATTACTTTTTATACCAGTAATAATATTGGGAGAAAGAGGAATCGATAAATATTTTTGAATATTCATATTCACACTCTTGCAAAAGTTTTACCATGTTTTAAATGTATAGCAAATTATACACATTTAAAAGGCTTTTTGGTTAGTTACCCTAGGAACTATTTTCTATTTCATCCATTTGTGGTCGTTTTTGTGCTTGTATTTGTTACTTTACTGTATTTAGCGAATTTGTACTCTTTGGCTGGTCGGCGTAGAACTAGTAATAGAAGGTTGGGGTCAGAAATCGTCCACGCTGAAAAGCCAATCCATCCCCATCTTCTCCCCAACACCCAACACCCAACACACTCGCAACACTCTCTCTCCCTCCCTTATCTTCCTCAAACAGAAGTAAATTAACAACAAAAACAAAGTTTCAAAGCACAAGTTAGGACACGCTTGATATATCTCTCTGGTTCTAAACTTGCATCTAATGGCTTCCCTTTCTCTTCCTAAGCACCACTTCCCTTCTGTGCTCCCCACTCAAACTCCTAGACACAACCCATCTTCGAAAACCCTCCCAATTGTCTCAAGTTCATCACATTCTCAATTTTATGGCCTCAAGCTCTCCAATTCCTCCTCTTTGCCAATCCCATCTTCTTCTTCTTCTTCTTCTTCTGGAAAGATGTTTATTTTTGCTGCTAAGGTACATTGCTTAATTCACATTTTCTGGTATGTTGAGTGTTTTGTAGGCTATGGCTACTTCTTTGTTGATTGATTATGATTATATGTTTCTTGACAGGTGGACAAGGGTAAGGTTCCACCAGCCTTCACATTGAAAGATCAGGATGGAAAAACTGTAAGTCTCTCCAAGTTCAAAGGAAAGCCTGTGGTTCTCTATTTCTACCCTGCTGATGAGACCCCAGGGTGCACCAAACAGGTTTAAACATAATGACATTGTTGCATGTTCTAATTATCCTTTTAGTTTATTGTTAGGGGCAGCCTGAAGTGTTCATTTCCTTACTGAGAAGCTTGGTTATCTTTTCAGTCAGCTTATCCTATATTGATTTTGTCCAACAATTTTTGCCGTAACCTTTAATTTGTTATGATATGCAATTCACATTGGAGCTGACAACACCAGATAAAGACTGTATCTTTAGTTAGTGCAGACACTGACAAATTGATACTCCCTTAGGCTTGTGCTTTCAGAGATTCTTATGAGAAGTTTAAAAAGGCTGGAGCCCAGGTCGTCGGAATTAGTGGTGATGACCCATCATCACACAAGGTAATGTGAACAGTTTCTAGTATGGAACAGCTTTAACTACTTTGGTAAATTGGCTTGGCTGTTTGGAGGACATATGCTGCAGTAATTGCAGCAGAATTGGGTTTAGTATATATTCTACTGGCTTGAGCAATGCTAGATGATAACTAAGGTTTGTTTGCTTCTAAATGAATTGTGAGTTCATTCAGTTAAGATTATTATATTTTTGAGAAAGTATGAGACTCATCATATCTACAGTACCTTTAGTTTATTTGAGTTTGGTTTTAAATGCATAACCATTGCAACTCATGCTTGAAGTTGATTATGAAGTTTTTCATTTATGTAGGCTTTTGCAAAGAAATACAAACTTCCATACACATTACTTAGCGACGACGGTAATAAGGTGAGGAAAGAATGGGGAGTGCCATCAGATCTGTTTGGGACATTGCCTGGAAGACAGACTTATGTTCTGGACAAGAATGGGGTGGTTCAACTCATCTACAACAACCAGTTCCAACCTGAGAAGCATATTGATGAAACTCTCAAATTCCTTCAAAGCCTTTAAAGTTCTCCTGTTTTTAGCTGCTTTGTTTTTTCATCCCTGTGTCCATTATATCTCCACAAAACAGGGTCAGCAAGTAGTTATTTTTGTATAATTCGAAAGCCAGTTATAATTACTAATGCTGCTGGCCATGTTTGTACTTATCCCAAGTAAAAGAGCAGTTGTTTTCTGCCCTATGAAGGCAAATTTCAAGTCGAAATTTTTGTGGAATATCCAATGGCTATTATACAGCATGACCTAGATGGCAATAATCTCGTTCTAAGTGATGTAATATCTTTGAGATTGTTAATGTTATTGTAAATGGTGGATCAAGAGGGCATTTTGCTTATGTTAATTAGTTGTCAACGCTGCAATCAGCTCATGTTCATGTTTCTTATCCCCTGCCTTGTTGCCCTTCTGCAATATTATCACATCATAATTTTGGGAATTTCAGAAGTAAACAATGGAAAAATTCTTTATTGAGATAAAATAGAACACGATACATTGATCATTTGTCCTGCAATTAGGTGTTCTTTATTTTGAGTTCTGGTGTAAAGAACCTGTCAATTATGAATTCAGGATGTTATTGCAAAGTATAGTTTCATTGTTTCTTCAGATAGTCTTGACTGCCATTGGGGCTAAATACTTCCGGCAACCAAGTATTCTTCCTCCAAGATGTCCACCCCATCTCCTCACAAATTTCATCACTGTGGTTGATGCTAAAAGTAACAAATTTAAGCTCCCAAGTGTGGAGCAAATGCTTGAGCAAACAAGTAAAGAAGTGGAAGTCTCGAAGAAAACAACCAGGTTCACCAAGTGTTAGAAATGTTAAATTTGTTTGCTCAAGCATTTGCTGCACAGTTCCGAAGAGGGAAGGTTCGAAACACTCTCGAGATAACCCACGAATGCCATGTTTGGGATCAAAGGATGAATTGTGCCCCTGCAGAAGAAACATTCAACAGTTTTATTCTTTACTTTTAACATTTCTAACACTATAGGTAATTTCTGGAAATCTTAGAAAACCAGTACCTTATAAGTGTGTGATACCAGAAGGGTATTCCAACAAGCTGCTAAAGGCTCTGGTAAGATGGACTTAACTTTTTTCTTACTACCATCATAACCAGTTGCAAAAACCACAACATCAGCTTTTATCTTAGTGTTGTCATCAAATTCAATTCCATCTTTACAAATCTGATGTTGTGGAATTCTATTCTATTCATGTGATTCAGAATCGTTGAAAAAGTGTCCAGTCAAGTGTAGTCATAACCACCTTAATTGAGTTCACTTTGACATAGTTTAAGTGGTCCACCTGAACCATTTACTGCTACCTCAATAGTTAACAGAGTTGTTATTGGAAAGACTGACGGTAGGTATGAAACTGTAGTGAAATGAGACTTTGGGTATGAAAGTGAGACACTTCGTGTAGTAAAGTCTGAACATTGATCAACTTCAGGGTAGTAAAGTGAAATTTACCCTCTCTTTTTTTCTATTTTATCTTACTTTCATTACAATTCTCTTTTACCAAAATTTTCCAGGGCTCATCATCTCTGAAGATTAATAGGTTAGCATGCCCAAAAAAATATACACAAGAAAGCTAACAATCCAAACAGGAAAACATATTTAAAATTTGACCTGAAAGTCAAACAAGTACATGAAAGGTGATGGGAATTATAAACCTATATTTTTACCTCGATTTCCCTCTGCACACTCTAGAGCTAAATCAATGACCTTCTTATCCTTTAGCAAATCAGAAACAGTGTCCTTGTTCAATCGTCTCAAAACTTGGTATCATTGGTGCCGGTGGAAACATGCTGTGATGGGCTAGCCACTTGGCTGCTGCTAAGCAACGCACACCGGCACCAATGTACCAAGTTTTGAGACAATTGGAGCCATAGTTGCTTGTTCTTGGTGTGTCTCAAAGCTTTTTTGGTTTGAAAGGTGAGATGGTTTTGAAAAGGTGTGATATATACTTGATTTGCTTGGTGTCTGAAAGAAGCTGAGGGAAAAGCTATTTATAGTGGTTGCATGAGTGGGTCTTGTCATATATGATGTAACATGTGAATGTGAAATTGATTTTGAGATCAAAGGATTTGCTAGGGTAAAAGATAGTGACCAATATTTCTATCTCTAACTCAGCCGTTGATTAAGTTTTTGTAATTGCGTTCTTAATAAATCGACAGTCCATACGGCGAAGCTCATTTTTAAAATGTAATTTTTTTTGTAATTATTGTGGGTAAATTAAATTAAATAGGTAAAAGTAAACACACAAAGATTTATATGCACTCAACAAATCACGTGGATGGTTTGCTCTAGTCTATTTTGGGGTGTTTGGGTTGGGTGGGTTTTTTCCTTTTGTGTTTGTGTTTAGTTGACCAAAACAGATAAGCTTTTCCAAATGTTGTGCCTTGGTTGTGTTCTATCAAATTCAACCTTCCATAAACACCTCTAAAAAATTAGGTTAAGTGCTTCTGCCAACCAAGCTATGTTGTGTCTTGTTTGTGTTCCATCATCAACACCTACAAATTAGGTTTGATGCTGTTCAGCCGTCTAGCATTTGCCTTTTGTCATTTGTGGTTGGAATAGTTTCAGGGCCGACAGCAATGAAGATGGAAGAATCACAAGGGAAGGAGTGCAAGAGGTAAAATTATATAAAAATTGTTGACTGCGGGAAACTAATAAAATCCCATCTAACATTGTTATCTATTCTTCACAAAGACTAATAAATGTTGCTTTCATTCAATTGTTACAGCTTAATTATAATGCTCGGTGCTTCTGCAAACAAGCTATCTAAGCTCAATCAAAGAACGAGCTGAAGAATATGCTTCATTACTAATGGAAAAACTAGATCCTGAAAATATTGGCTATACTATTTATAAAAAATAAAATAAAAAGACCCCAGTAAAAAAATCCCTAGTATAGCCGGGCGGCTATACTCTTTTTATTTTTTTAAAACCCCGAGTATAGCCGGACGGCTATTATATTTTTTATAATAAAAAAACCGACTATAGCCGTTCGGCTATACTATTTGTATAAAAAAAGGGGACGGCAGGCGCTAGCGCCCATTTCGCCACGTATAAAAATAGTATAGCCCCGCGGCTATACTATTTTTAAAATAATAAAGCCCGAAGTATAGCGCTCGGCGATACTTATTTTTTTATAATAAACCCCCAGTATAGCCGCTCGGCTATACTATTTAAAAAAGGAGGACCCACCTGTAGCCTTGTGCCCATTTCCCCACGTGTCCGGCTATACTATTTTTTAAATAAAACCGTAGTATAGCCGCTCGGCTATACTATTTATAAAGAGTCCACGCCTTGCGCCTAGAGCCTGCATCGGCTATACTATTTTTTTTAATTTATAAGAGTTCCTATGCTGTGTTCTCCAACAAACTATTTCTAGTGTGGAAAAGCTTGAAGTACATTGGTAAATTTGCTTGGTTTGTTGGAGGACATCATCAGAGTAAGCCTTGGGTGAGTTGATTGAGCTATAAATGGAAGTCCTCTTATATATTACAAAGAGCTTTCGTTTATTTGAGAATGGCTTCTAATACATAACTATTGCAAATCGTGCTTGAAGTTTATTATGAAGTTCTTAATTTGTGTAGGCCTTTGCAAAGAAATACAAACTTCCGTCCACATTACTAAGCGACGAGGGTAATAAGGTGAGGAAATGGGGAGTGCCATCAGATCTGTTTGGGACATTGCCCGGAAGACAGATTCAACTCATCTACAACAACCAGTTCCAACCTGAGAAGCATATTGATGAAACTCTCAAACTCCTTCAAAGCCTTTAAAGCTCTCCTTTTTTCTTTTTCTTTTTTCATCCCTGTGTCCATTATCTCCACCAGATATGGTTCGCAAGTGGTTATTTTTGTATATTTCAAAGCCAGTTGAGATGGTTAATGTTATTGTAAACCTTTGAGATGGTTAATGTTCTCTTATGCCCTGCCTTTTTGCCCCTCTGCAATATCACCACATTCACATCATACTTTTGGGAATTTCAAAAGTAAACAATTTAAAATTTTTTTATTCAGATAAAATAGATTATGATTTGCTGATACATGATACATTGATCATTTTTCCTGCAAGTAGGTGTTCTTTATTTTGAATTCTGGTGTGAAGGAGCGGTCAATTATATACTTAGGATGTTATTGCAAATTATAGGTTCATTGTTTCTTCAGATAGTCTTGACTGCCATAGGGGCTAAATGCTTCTGCCAACCAAGTATTCTTCCTCCAAGATGTCCACCCCATCTCCTCACAAATTTCATCACTGTGGTTGATGCTAAAAGTAGAAATGCAATGCCTCTTGTAGAACCTGGTTGTTTTCTTCGAGATTTCCAATTCTTTCCTTGTTTGCTCGAGCATTTCCTCCACACTTGGGAGCTTGAATTTGTTATCCAGCAGCCTAGCCAGCCATATGCTGCGCAGTTCTGAAGTGTGAAGGTTCGAAACACTCTCGAGATAACCCACGAAAGCCATGTTTGGGATCAAAGGATGGATTGTGCCCCTGCAAAAGAAACAGTCAAACAGTTTTTACTCTCCAATTTTAACATTTCTCACACTTGGTAATTTATGGAAATCTTAGAAAACAAGTACCTGTATAAGGGTATGATACCAGAAGGGTATTCTAGCAAGCTGCGAAAAGGCTCTGGTAAGATGGACTTAACTTTTTTCTTACCATCATAGCCAGTTGCAAAAACCACAACATCAGCTTTGATCTTAGTGTTGTCATCAAATTCTATTCCATCTTTACAAAACCACCATTTTGATTCTGATCTTTTGAACAGAATCTTGCCTTTATCGGCCTCAGAGAAGAAATTCTCAGGCATGATGGCCATCTGGCAGGATGCATAGTCTTCCTCAAATGGATGGTCTGGTTTCAGTCCATACTTCTCCAAAGGCAGCTTCCACAGTATGTATGATTCAATGAACTTGGACACTGCATGCCTCTGTGAACAAACATAACACAACAACCAAATCTCAGTTCTCTATTATTAGCTACAGAGCAAGATAGTACTAAAACATTTTATTTTCTTGTATCAATTAATTAATTAATGTTGTTGATTTACCATTGGAGACATAACTAGGGAGCAAAGGAGGGCCCTGAGGAAGCTTTGGTTGGGTCTTTGATGGAGAAACTGTGAAGATCGTGTTGAATAGAACAAGAAAAAGGGCAAACCCCAAACCCAATAGTGGGGAACAGTCCAATGTAAAGTCCTTACAACCATGGTGCATGGCTTCCCTTCTGGTCCTGAAAGAAAAAATCCATGAAAAATCAAACCACCAAAATAACTCAGGTCAACAAGACTTTTCTTATTTATTTTTAAAAAGCGATATTGGGAGAGGAGGAATCGAATCTAGGACCTAGGATGTAGGTTTGAATACTTTTAACCAATTGAGTTACTAACCCGTCACATAACTTTTAGACTTGGACTAACACATTTTTCTTAGAGGAGACTTTCAGCAACAAAAGAAGACAACAAGGTGGCATGCTACATTAGTGTGTGCGTTATGCAGATGGGTCAAGGTAAGGAAATAGTAGTGTAAAAGCTTAAAGAAAAGTTGAAATTTGTATCATCTACATATTTATGATAGTTATGATGTTAGCAATTGAACAGTACATATATTTGTTTCAAGTCAAATCTGATGTTGTGGAATTCTATTCTATTCATATGATTCAGAATCGTTGAAAACACGTGTCTAGTCAAAGTGTAGTCAAAACCAAATTTAATTGAGTCCTCTTTGTCACTTTGACCACGCAACGCAATTTTGCAATCTTTAATTAATGAATTCTTGGCTAGCTGAGCTGTGTTGTGTTGTGTTGTGTATGAGACTGTGACTTGTGTCTGGAACTAACTATAACCATGCAAATTCCAACCCTTAACGTGGAAAATGCGACCAAATTGTGGTTGTGGACATTTATTTTTGTTTTATTTTCATTGGGAATCTTTTTTTACCAAATTTTTCCAGTGATCGTTATCACTGAAGATGAATTGGCTAGAATATATCATCATCACTGTACTCGAAAATCAAACAAGTACATGAAAGGTGATGGAAATTATATAAACCCTATATATTTACCTTGATTTGCCTCTGCACACTCGAGGGCTAAATCAATAGCTGATTTTTTGTAGCCAACTACGACCACCTTCTTATCCTTCAGCAAATCAGAAGCAGCGTCCTTGTCCAATTTGCAGTAATCAAGAGCATGCAGAGTCTGGCCTTGAAATACTTCAGGGCCTTTGTTCTGTGGAAACTCTGGAAGTTTGGGTGTATCACCATACTTCCCAATGCAAACCACAATGAACTCGAAGGCGTACCACTGTATTATTCAAAACAAACACACCAAAATCAGAACACGAAAAAAACATAAAATTATGATTAATACTGTATGCAATTTCATAAGTGGGATTTTGAAAAAGAAAAAGAAAACTATTTGTTGGGAGTATAGGACATGTCAGCAATATGAATATGTAACATCGGAAATGTTTTCTCTTGTTAGGTAATATGACAACACCATATTTTTATATTGTCAAATTGTGAATATGAATCGTTGATTAGGTTCAGGTTAACTCTTGTCTCAACCTGGATCTAAACAAAGCAACATTAGTTAGGTTGTGTAACACTGATTGTGAGTTTCATGTTACAACCACTAGTGGAGAAACTACAAATCCACATGACATGTTGAAAACCCTACACATGCAAGTGACTCATAATATACCAAAATTTGGGTATGAAACAGCTAACAACCTGAATGGTCTCTGAATCATTGGACTGCACAGAAACCTCCCAAACAGGCTGACCGCCGCCTGGCGAGAGGCCCCCATACTCCACAGGGTTGACAGAAAAATCAACAGTTTCCCGGTCACCAACAAACCGAACCTCGACCACCTTGGAATTGAACCTCACGAACTTAAGCACATCAAAGCGCTGAGCATAAGAGTTCAAGTAGTCCAATATCTCAAGATGGGAAGGAAAGTCTGCGTTGTCCCTGTCAGGCCAAGGGAAGTCAGAGAACTCATAGTCACGTCTATGAGATTGAAGCTTTGTGGAACTGTAAGAACAATGCCTCCAGACGCCTCCAATGGAGTCAGAGGCTTCAAGAACAATAGGGTTGTGATGGGCTAGCTGCTTGGCTGCTGCTAAGCCACTCACACCGGCACCAATGATACCAAGTTTTGAGACAATTGGATCCATTGTTGCTGGTTTTGGTGTGTTTCAAAGCTTTTTTGGTTTGAAAGATGAGATGGTTTTGAAGGTGGTGTATATTTTGATATATACTTGATTTGCTTGGTGTACAAAACAAGCTGAGGGCAAAAGCCATTTATAGGGGTTGCATGAGTGGGTCTGGTCTCATGTATGATGTAAGCATGAATGTGAAATTGATTTTGAGATCAAAGGCTTTGTTAGGGTAAAAGATTGTGACCAATATTTCTCCAGTAATCGTATGTGAAATTGGCCCGTCAAGGAGAGGAACCTTCGTGGTTTATTTACCTTTATAATATTATTATCATAATTATTTCGTTCAAATTGAAATTAATAACAAAAATACAGTGGTGAGTACGTATGAACTGTTGCCATACCTAATTTTCTAAGAAAAGTATAAGCATTAGTATTTCTATACATACATATACATATATGAAATCATGATGCCCGGTGCACCTCAGATCTACCAAATCTACCAAACAATTTAATGCACCTTTAGATGTAGTTGTCCCTCACTTAAAGTATTAATTACACATGCATGCATTCATCTGTACCACATATAAAATACAACACACACATACAGTATTGTGTGTGTATGTGGATATGCATTTCATATATACATACATCGTATATGCGTGCATGTATATATACACATACACATACATGTACACATAAAATAAATAAATAGATAAGCATTTTACTTTAGGTATTTTGAATAGAAGAAGATTAATAACTTGTTGGATTATGGAGAAAATGTAAAAGGTGGTTTTGGCCTTACTTTAATGTAGAAAGTTCATGCAAATGTAGAAGGAAACAACGAAGAACTGAAGAAGAAACTTAAAGGAAATGAGGCACTTGCAGACTGAATCTACTTTTAGGAGGAGAAAGGAATGTGAAAATCAAGACTACACACACACACACGTCTCTTCTTGAAAATCAAAGTCTTTTTACCCACAACTAAGACTATATGCATGCAGTGATTCAATTCAAGCTTTTATATATAGCTTCTTCAATGGTATTTAGTCAGTGTTTTGTTGATTCTTCCATGGTTTCATTTCATGCGTTTTAAATATTTGTGTCTTGGGTTGAATTTTTCAATATTCATGAGTGTTAGAGAAAACAAACAATTAATTATAAATAAATAAAAATTAATTTGTTTACCCTTCTTTATCACGCAAAGTGAAGCCAGAAGCAAACTGGAAATTAATATGTAGCGATATCCAAATATATATATTAATAAGAAGTGTGTAGGAGGATTGTATCAAAACAATTAGTCAGATACACACGTGGAGTATTGGTTGACAATTTCGATTCAAACAAATTAATGAAATTACATTAGCAATTTCAAATCTGTCTATGACCCGACAATACCTACCCACCTAGCTGTGTTGATGCTTAAAGTTCTATAATTCAGTAGAAAATTTATCGTCTAAAGAAAACCCTGTGCAAATTCAAAAGTCTTAAGCACCAAATATCTTAGTAGTTTTTTCTTTTCTTTTCATACAAGCGATATGAGGAGGGGAGAATCGAACTTAGAATCTCGAATACATGAGCAAGCACTCTTAACTACTTGAGCTAAAAGTCTCTTACCAACTATCTAGTATATTTTAACTAAATTGTTTTTTGTTTTTCATTAGTTAATGCAATACAGGACTCCTGTTCTCAACAACAAAAGTCCGTTTATGATTCACATGTATGATTATATGAAAACTCTTAAAATAATCTGAACTGACCCATACATTTATCATCATCCATCAATGGTCAAGATGAACTGTTTGAGAATATATAAAATATATGTTTTCATATTGATATATAAAATGTATGTATCACAGTCACAAGCTAGCAAAAGGGACGAGGAGACAAAATATAGGGGGTTGCCTCGGAAAAGAAAGTAGTAGATTGACGACATGAGCACATACAATTCAGTAATGAAAACTGAAATTGAAAATAACGTGAAGTAAATTGTAACTTAGTAAGTAAGAGTCAAATAGTCGTGCAATTGGCAGATGGATGGAGCTGGAAGTCAGTCAGACTTACGATGGCTTTCCACACTAAATAGATGCACATTGATTTTAGGAAGCCAGTACTCATATTCTCAGCCGACCCGACTTTTCAAATGCATTTATGTTTAGATCCATCCATCTTTCAATTTCCACACATGGACTGCGGTGGCTTTTGGCTGACACAAACTTTGGCCACATCCCCTCCTCTCCATCCCAGATGCCCTAGACACATGTAGAGTGTGGACCAGATTATATTACCATATGCTTTTTCTGGCCTATTGCTTTCTCCTCTTCTTTTTCTATACTTGGTAATCTCATATTCTACATCCGTCTCTCTCCATATATTTTCCGCGCAAAATATATGATATGGATAACATTATAAACCACATTTTCAGTTTCAACTTACATTGTCCGATTCAAATGTATTCAATATTACAAGTAAACTTTTTAACACATATTATGTTTTAACTAAACAGTACATGTCACTCGCCCTTGCCCTGCCCAAGAACAACAAAGCTACGTTAACTGCCCTAGACTACAGCGCAGTGCAACCTTTGTACAAAATACTTACAGCACAATAGTTTAGGATATTGAAATTCTAGCCCACCCATCTAGCTCTCAAATTTGTAATTTCTTTATTTTTACAGCTAGCTAGTTGCACAAAAGCCATATTTTGCTACCTCTAGTCATTGTTAATTGCATCTTTGAAGTCCAAAAAAATTCCATGTATAGTTATTCCTACAGCTTATTTTATTTTTTCACTTAACAAAATAGTAGCCCATCTCTTTGAAAATTTCTGGATCCGCCATTGACCCTTCCACATGACATGACAGGGAAGTTCCCACCCAAATTTGTCCATAGAAATTTGCTAATATAAAAAGTGATAGAAGATATTTTTTATTTTATTTTTTTAATACAAGTGATAATCTAAATTATAAAAGAGAGAGGGTTTCTCACACACACACAACCAAGATGTCATGTGAATTCTAACCTAAGACTATTAATTTGCAAATTAAGACCATTTTCCACTGAAATAGACCCTATTAGCAATAGAAGATGTATTGAATACGTATGTTTTATCTCTACTTTAATTATATACGATGTGCTCTATGCACATGATAAATGTATAGATTCAAATATTTTTATTGTTGTTTTCCGTGTACAATTGGACAAAATAAATATTGGCTTTTGCACCTTTCAACTGAGAAGGACATCAAGTGATCAGATTCACATAACTGTGGGAGCAAGTCTGCTGCATGCACTCTAATATCATCCCTCACCAACACTGCACTGATTAGCGCTTTGACCTTTTTCACGACTGTGAATGCATCCCATTCTAGAAATTGACGAGTCTTGTTGGTTTCAGAGAGGAAGCAGACATGAAAATTCTTCAGCTTTGCAAAGTTAGGGTTAGCAATATTGCAGACTTGTAGTAGAAGATAAATGTTCGAAATCAATAGCTGACTTTTTGGAAATGGAAGTCAAACAAAGCCATCAAACGTTGGTTAGGTCTAGAAACAAACAGCAAGCTTCTTGTTGGCTGACTTATAATTATCAACATTCTAATTAAACTTCAAAAATACTATCTTTGTAGTCTCAAAAACGGCCTCGAAATTTTCTTCCTTTGAATCTCGTGCAATCTAGAATAGTTGGAGGAGAAAAGCCTTTTTTCCCATTGTAAAGACCCATTGGAGATGGAGTTGCATTATTATACATGACTTTCGCATTCTTTTCTTTTCTTTTTTCTTTTTAGACACACATTTTTATACGTAAAGGTCTATCGATTCTATTTCATGAAGAATCTTTTGGGGTTATGGAAATTTGAACGATTGTGAAGTTTGTCCAAGTCTAATTCCTTATTTAGTTTTCTTTAAAATGTAATAAATTTAATACTTGGACAATCTATGTAAAATGATGATCAGTTTGTTTTACATCATCTCTTCAACAAAGGTGTAGTGCACCAATACAGCGGGGATCACCTCTATTAAAGAGGTAATACACAAGGTGGTATATAGCATTTTTGTTAAATTAAATACTTATCATAAGTTTATGAAAATTTTAATTGTGTGAGAAATTGAATTTTCAGGTGCGAGTAGAAAACGAACTGAAAATATATATATATATATATATATATATATATATTCGCCCATCCACAGCCCTGCTTTTTCTATTTGTCGTGGGCTCTCACTTAAAACCATATGTGGTTTTCAGGCTGAAAATTTATCAGCCCATGTATCCAAAAAAACATAGCAGGCTTCTATGGTTGGACCCAAATTATAAACTGGTTTGATCTGTAACTTAGGGCTTGTTTGATAAACCTTAATTTTTAAAACACTCGAAACGTGTAATGGTTTTTTTTCTTTTTTTTTTTTTTTTTTTTTTTTTTTGCTCCCTTTTCGTTCACTGATTTTACATCACCACAAATGAAATGCACTTCAGTTATCAAAATTCGGTATTTAGGACCTTTCGACTTGGACCTGGCTACACATAGGCATATTATAATATTGTAAAAGAAATACAAACATGGAAACCTGGGCACCATCAATCTACCCCCTACAACTTGAATCACGTGTAAGGCAACTTCATCCGTACACTCATAATCAGCATTTCATACAGTTAACTACCAGCTATCATCCATGACTTGCAAGTCTTCTTCTTTTACCTAACTCCTTCAAAAGCCTTGGCCCCTTTATTAATATATTATTATTTCCCAACCAAGTCTTTTTCTTTTTCTTTTCTTTTTTGCCTTCTATTATCTAAAGGTAGTGAAATTTATAGGTAAGAAATTCACGTACACAAGCATTACTTACGTGTACCCACGTGTAGGCTATAGCTTGACTAGCATCAACCCTCTCTCACGTTTCACGTTTCACGTTTCTTGCAATTTTTCTCCAATTTTTTCTTTTTAATCTTACGTTAATATTCTATACAGTAATGTGAAAGCTCCTAACGAGGCGTAAAATATAGAAAAATGCTAGGCATATCACATTATTGTACTATACATGTATTTATAAAAAAACCCAAGCACTATTTAAACATAGAAACACACCCAAAATCAACCACAAAGTCAACTTTTTGGGTGTGTTTATAAATGGGTTTTGAGTGTGTGTAATGATGGGTTTTGGGTGTGTTTATATGTTTAAATAGTGCTTGAATTTTTTTATAATTTCAACCCCCATTTTAGGTGTTTTAGTGAAATTCCCTTATAAGTTTTGTTTTTAATACATTAGAATAACTGGGTCTTCATGGGCCACCGAAGGCAAAATGCAATACTTTTTTATTACTGACAATGGCACTTCGGCTTTTTGGAGACTTCATCCTTCAAAGAAACTTGCAAAGAAAAGACATAAATCAAATTTGCAAGTGTCAAATTGAAATGACGGCCGAAAACTATGAACCGCGTGCATAATTTCACTCTACATTTCTCCATCAGTTTCTAGACCCCCCATACTGTTCTGTGTGGTCAGCATGATAAGGGTGGAGACGGAGGAGGAGGGACTGTGGGGTTCACGAAACACAAAGAGGACACTTGGTTCCTGGCCTGACACGTGTCACGGGACTATATCATGCAAGTGGGAAAATGCGGTATAATAATTGGGATCTACCTTGAGCAATTCGCATCTTAGCTCTCGATTCTTGGCATCTCTATTGGCATCTCTCTATACGGATCCTAAACTGGACTTGGCACACCAAACATAACAAATCCAACGGCCCAAATTCTCCCTCGGATTCTCTCTCCTCCCACCATAAATTCATCCTCACCAGACCCACACCTCGTATTCTTCACCGCACTCGGACACAAACCTTAACACAACCCCCAGAAAACCCCTGTTCTGTTCCATTTCAACATGAACTCTGTGTTGGATTCTCCTCTCGAAGCTCTTGCTTTCAACTATGTCAGCTTCGGATTGTTCACTGTTGTGAACAATTTGTGGACTTGGGTCGCCGTTTTGACGGCCGCCGTCAGCTTCTTGAGCCTCAGGCTCAGAGCCAGTACCAGAGCTGCCAGCACTGCTATCTCTTCTTCTTGCCTGTTCAACTCACCACCTTCCAATGACGACCGGAGCTCAAATGGGTCGTCGCCGGTTCCGGAGATAACGCCTTCGGAAACGCCCGACGAGCCACCCTGCTCTGTTTTGTCTCTGGTGGCTGCGCCTTATAAGTTTGAAGATGATAGAATAGTAGTGACAAAAGGGCTGAAGTTCACTCTGTATTATGAGGATAACGCAGAAGGCGACGTTGACCTAAAGGCGGAGGAAGCGGGAGAGTGCGACGGCGATGAGGCGGTGGCTGAAGGTTGTGGGGAGTGGTTGGAGGGTGTTCTGAGGCTGAGATTAGGGGAGATGGGTTGGTACAGGCACCAGGACTTGACTGAGCTTAACGGTAACGTCGTTAGATTATGGGATGGTTGTAGAGTTGGCGCAAGGCACGGCTCATCAAAATCAACACACCGTGTCGTGTAGTAGTTAGATTGTCGTATGGCAGAGGAAGTTGTTTATTCTAATAAGCTCCTGTTCTTGGGATTAGGGTTGTGAAAAAAATGTAAATACATTTTGTTTGGGTTAAACATGATTAATCCGCGGAATCAATGCAATGCTAATTGGTTCTTTTTTGTTCTCTAATTCTTGTTCTTTCCATTAAACCCGATTATATTGCCAGTTGATGTGATTTATTAGTGTACCTCGTTTGTGTTTATAAAATACATACATACACACATATATATATATATATATATGCACAATTGACAAACTGGGACAGCCAAAATAATGCGAGAGAGAAGACAGCAGCAGATAAGCTATTGGACTGATGCGGTGGAGGTGGTTGTGTTTGGTGGTACTATATTAATTAATAACCATTTATCTGACTAGATATGCAATTATAAAATGGTAAGTAAGGCTGAAGCAGCTTCATTAACTTTATTCTATTTGATTAATTAATCGCAACATTATTTTTTTTAGTACAAGTGATAGTTTAAATTATAGCAGAAGATGATTTTTCACACACACAACTATAATGTCAATGTCTTTTTTCACTAAACTAAATCCGGTTAGCAAATCTCCTCTGATCTTACTAATAATGTTGATTGTTGTGAGAAATTATTTTATATATATATATAATATAATTATATAAAGAATCTTAGAATCTTGTAACAATCAATCAAATGGTTTCAAGTCGCCAACATATTGACAATTATGTTTAACAAATGGTCCTTGTAGTATGTAGGACCTGTTGGGAAAGATGAGTGCATGTAGGCACAAGAATGATGGGTTCATAGCAGTTTTAATGAAAAATCATGCACTTATTGTATATATGACACAACTTAAGAAAAAGAAATTTAAGTTATAACACATCATTATGAACAATCTTTGACTGATGAGACCCCCATCAATGGCGACCAATGGCCACCAACCATTACTCAGGGAATGGGTGCGTAGAAAAATAAACTACTAACTCTCAAGGTAGAAGGCTTGGAGCTAGAATTTTTGCATGTTGAAGGTAGGACACGTGTAAATATTTTATTTTTATTTATTAAAAAAAAAGTGCAGTAAGTTGGAAAGTTCAAACCACATGTCCTATGTATATTGTATGGTACACAATGTACTCGGAAGATGCAAAAATTTATCCTCAATATTATGTTTATAGTTAGCAAAAGCATGCATTAATTAGTTCATAATCTTGAAGCACATCTTAAACCCTTTGTGGTTTAGTAGTTGTGTACCATGGACATGGGAGATGATAAATTTCTTAGTATTTTCAACAGTATATCCTGCATAATAGAACTGCACATGTACCGTATGCGCCAAATTTGCTATCCTTCTCTATGTGTACTGAATTTTATGCTTGATGGATTCCAGGTAAGAGGTTGTACATGTACAATTTATAGCAACCTAAGCTTGTTGGGCTTCCCACCAAAACCACACCCAACTACAGCCATATGTTACACTGCTACACTTGTACCATCACCAATAATTCTTCATGAACACCTCAGACCTGTTCTCAGCAAGCTGGTGTGAAATCCTAACTTGTAAATTAAGGAAAGATAAATAAAAAATACTATGACCAATTTCCTATATAATACTCGACACCTTATGTTACCAGGCGCTTTGATAATGAGGGGCAATGTTAAGAGGGTGTTTTGAGAGATTCAATCTAGCCGTCTAATATTGAGGAATTTATTTATCAAAGACCCCACCATTATAATCCCTCATTACAATCTTACTATATGTTACCACCAGCTCATGGATATGATATCATATATCATCCAAGGGTCCATAGGATCTTAGCTTTCATAGTTGGTGGATCAAATTGATTAGTCTAATTTAACGGTTAAGAAATAAGACCTCACTTAAGAGCACATATAAGCCCTCAATATAGAATTTTTATTACTGTGTATGCATCTCGAGAATTGGTCCACAAATTTAATGGTGGGGATTGTGAAGCCCGTATTCTCCAATTGGGCCAAAAGCCCCAACTGCTCGCAATCCAGCTTCACGTGGGTAGACCCCTTACCATATCCACACTCCAGAGACAAACCTAATTTCGCTCACTATGACATTTTATCAAACACGTCGTGCGCCACACATTTTGAACTCAACTGGGCCTGCTGGAAGAGCTGCCGTGCCGTGCTGTCATATGTTTTTACCAGGAGAGGGGAGGGAGAAACCCAAGAGAGAAAATTGCATGTGCAATTTATATGTGGGGTAGGCATTATGTCGCAATGCAATTCCAGACTGCATTTCACATGCTGTGTTTCAGAACTTAACCCTTGCGATGTCAAATTCATGGGAAAGGCTGTTGGGCTCACAAAAGTGTGTTTCTTATCGGTTTTCTGCTGCTAATAATAATTCATGGGTAAGGGGACCCATGTTTGCCAATCAAACAACCACTCAATCACTCAATCAAACTGGCATGCAAAGGAGTTGCTTTTGATTTCTCACTCTCACTATTATAAAATATAATTGGTTCCGTTTGGTGATGCGCATTAAATCACAGGCCCCTATACTTACACTATATACTATATGTAGCTTCATTTCATGCCCTCCAATACCAATTGAGGGTGGGTTTAAGGCCAATTTGGCATTTATGTGCTGTAAAAATAATCGCTATCAGATTTGCGGTGAGAGAAATTAGCTGTGAGATAAAGCAATTTGGAGCTTGGTAAACTTTTTGTTAAAAGCATTGTTAGTATTGATTCCCGCATAATCATGAAACTCAACGTCTCTTCGAAACTGATTCATGCATAATCAGAAAATGAAAGCATCTCATTAGCTATTTTTCTTTATAGTTTTCTCTCACGACAAGTTTTAACAATAAGTGATTTTATCATAGTTTACCGAACGGGTTGGGCTTCCCAAATTTTTAAAAAATCACTTATCACCCCAAATAAACAATGTCAAACAGGCACTTAGCTTGCTAGTATTATTCTTTTAACCAAATACTTATATTGTCAAACTATAAATCGAAGTAAATAAAAAAAATCAACATGAACAAAAAGTTTGGTAATAAAACATTTTTCCAATAAGTTAAATCATGTCAATTAATCTTACATACAGATTATTTTTCTTTGGAAAGTGGTTATGGCATGGATACAAATAATTATGGAGTCACATGTAGGCTTAAAAATGGAGAAAGATTTCCTTAAAACGGGAATAAATAACATAATTTTGTTATTCCCGATAAATAACGCTATGACATGCATGATAATACTTCCACGTAGCATAATGGTATTGGTAGCGGATAGTAAAACACTACTTTCTCGTTGCAAATAAATTTTTCTCCTTCATATCGATCTATATACGTTATTATGGTGATGTCCCCCAACTAAGATATTTAGACTTCTTGCTTCAAAAAAGAGTTTTCTGACTCCGCCTCTAAAAATAGATCTTTTAGTGAGTTTATTTATATATATATATATATATATATGCAAGTTACAACCATACAAGCCAAAGAATAATCCATGTTTAAGTCATTCGTGATGATTGTTTAAGAAAATGACTTTTTTTTTGTTTTTGGGTTCTCCTGGAAATAATAATCCATGTTTAAGTCATTCGAGATTGTTTAACAAAATGACATGTTTTATGATTGTTTTGTTTGGTCTCCAAATTTATTTGAATGCCACCTCATTGAAAAATATTGAGGAGCATGCACTGAAACATGGTTGAGGACTTTGATTATTCGTCAATAAATATATGTTTGCATGTTGGTTAGTGATAGGTTGATAACTTGTGGTGCATTTATTCAGAGCCCTCAACAGGTACCAAACACTTAGCCAAAATAGCCACAAATGGGGGTGCGTAAATTTGTAATTAGACTGCCTATGCCTATAAGAAATACAAAGAAAAGATGTTTGACAAGATGTGTTGTTTGGTTAGGGGATTTGAATTGAGATATTTAAACTACCACTTTTCTAGCTTTTTGGTGTTTTTATAAAACTTCCTTATGTCTCAAAAATTATATGCACATTCAGGTTTAAGTTTGTTTTTACAAAATCCCTTTTTATTTATTGTTCGTCTAAAAATTAATGATTACATTGAAAAAATGCTTATGCAAATAATGAAATTAACCTCAATGAATGTATATGCAATCTAATCTAAAATGTAACTTTGTTATTTGAAGAATTTTTATGTATAAAATTATTAACCTTTGGAAGAAAAATCAATAAATATAAATTTTCTAAAAACAAATTAAAATCTTAAGGATGTTTGTGTAATTTCTGAAACCTCAGGGAGTTTTGTGAAAAAGCCAAAAATCTTAGATAGTGTTAGTGTAAATAACTCATTTGAATTTCTCAACCAAAAAAAAAAGTCAATTGCTTTTGTTTTTTGTTTTTTTTTTCATTTGTTTTGATGATTATCCCTAAAGAGGAAAATAAACTCCCTCCTCTCCCAGCACACTTTTTTTTTCATAATCTATATATATAAAGCAAAAGATAGATAATGGTGAAACATTCAAAATACCAGAAAATGCTATTGATTAATCCAAACATTAAGATTTAAAATGATTAATTAAATGAGGATAATATGGTAAATTCACACTTTTTCATATTAAAAAAATTAAAATTAAAAGAAAAATAAGATAATGAATCATATTTTTATGGAACACAACTACCCATTATCTTTTTTAATTCTAAAATAAATTTCATTTATAAAAATAAAATAAAAAAGGTCCCTCACAGGCGCGTGCGGAGAGGCTAGTAATACAAATAAAATAAAACTTTATACCACTTTTAAAAAATAATAATAATGACGGGTGTCATTAAATTATTCGTCCCAAAAATAGTGCATAGATAGCGATGAGTCTATACCACGAAAATACATGGGTTGGTTCAATTATAGGAGTGGATGGAATGAATACCATCCATATCTTCAACCAAAAGATTTGCCAAAGTCAATATGACAAAAGGTAAACTAACGTGACTGTGTTTAGGTTTGCTTTCACCATAGATAAGGAGTTAGTTAACTATACATAATCAAAGGATGGAAAGATTGATTAACAAAGCATTTGATACATTTGTTTGACACAAACGATATTGAGAGAGAGGAACTTGAACATAGGAAATCGAATGCAAGATAATTACTTTTAACGATTTGACCTACAAGCCTCTCTAATTTCGTTCGACTCAAAATTAACAAGCATAATTTGGTTCGATTGTTAATATTTTTCTTACCGATCAAGACAATCACGTTATATTTTATTTATCAATTAAAAATAAAATAATATGGTTCCCTAACATTAATCTTTTCCCATCTCAAAGAGGGGTTTGTTTTCGTAGGCTTGCCCCCCAATCAACCACACATACCCCTATAAAACCAACCGTTGGCGCACTCATCAATTAATTAAACAAAATCATATCAGACATCCATCCACCCAACTACCCCAACACATACTTGCACTCACACTCTTCTTCACTCTACTCACCCTCACCCTTATCTCTCTCTGTCTACCTCAGATCTTCCCACCATTACAAATGAAAACGATGCGTTTCCTACTCTCTCTCCTCCCGCTCCTCCTCCTCCTCCACTCCCTACCCTACTCCGCCGCCGCGCGGAAACACAACCCACACAACAACCCAATCAACTCATCCCATCTCGTCCGTTCGTCGTGTAGCCACGCCAGCTACCCCAACCTCTGCATTCACTCTCTCTCCACCTACGCGGGCCCCGCAAACACCCCTCGCGACCTGGCCCAGGCTGCCGTCAACGTCAGCCTCTCACGAGCCCGCCGCGTTTCCGGCTACCTCGCCAAACTCTCCAACTCCGACCAGGGAACCAAACGAGAGCGTTCCGCGCTCAGCGACTGCATCGACCTCATGTCCGAGTCCGTGGACGAGTTAACCCGGACGCTCGACGAGTTGAAGCACCTCCATGCCGAAACGTTTCGGTTTCAGATGAGCAACGCCCAGACTTGGGTCAGCGCGGCCCTCACAGATGACGACACGTGTCTTGATGGGTTTGAGGAGCTTAATGTGAAGGTGAAGGCGGATATGAAGCGCAAGGTTACGAATGCGGCTAGGGTTACTAGCAATGCGCTGTACCTGATCAACCGCCTCGATGAAAGCCGTGGTCGGCCCAGATCTAAACCTTGATGATTATGATGATGGTGATGGACGGCCGTGATTCTGTTTCACCGGGCGTTATCTATAGCGTGTGTAGTTCGTTCGTATTTTTTTGTTTTTAACTTTCGATTTTTATTTTTTATTTATAAAAAGTTGTACGTATGATCTCATCGTCTGCTGCATATATAAACTCTTCCTCATAGTGTATCACGTCATGTTTTATCTAAAAATTAAAAGGCTATCAAATTAACCATTGATGTCCTTTTTGTCTTTTACTCATCAAAGTCACTTGAATTACGTGATAAATAACAATGTTGAAATACACGTCAATATTCTAAACTACTGTAATTGTAATAGAACGAATATCACTATATTCTAAATTAATCTAATTGAAATGAAAATCGAGTACGAAAGGTAAACTTATTACTTTAATTAATTGGCCAAACCCACTTATACAATTGTATTCTTTCTTTGTTGTAGCTCATATGCCTAAAAAATTCTGTGTTGGTTCATGAAAAAATAATTTTGATCACAAAGCTCAGTAATGATTAGGAAAAGTTATGGGGCATCATGAATATTTAGGGACCAAACTTTATGATGTGTATAAAAAAATGGAGGAGCTTTTGAAAGTGTTGGGGACCTGGACAACCAGAACTCATGTGACCAAACTGAAGTAGCAAAATGGCAGCTTTTGGAAAGGTGTGGTCAATGCTCACTTCTTCCTGAGAACACAAGGGATCAATTGACTTAAGCCATTCGATCAAGGGCTGGGCCCACACAAAGAAAATTTACACTGTTTGGAGTCAAAGATGCATTTAACAATAACTAGAGCTAATTTTGTTATGAAAGTCCAGTGAGTTGACATCACCATAATCACACATGGCCCTAGAAAAGAAAAAAGAAAGGGCTAAAAAAGGAGGGTTATATTCGGGGCAACGCGTCCGACCCGGCCCAGTAAAATATAGAACCGTTCAGCCCAAAGGGTTGGAACGAATGTCGGTTGTTCGCTTCACGGACTCAGGATATGAACCCGCCAATTCTAACTGGGCCAAAGTCTCCTTCTTCGCTCTCGACTATTGTCCATAAACCCTAGCTGCCTCTTGAATTCATTGAAGCTAGGGTTTTTCTGCAACTCGCCAATCCCCGCCCAACATGGAAGGCATCGAAATGGACGACGGTTACACTCTTCCCCTAATCGAAGACGACGACATCTGCACCTCAATCCTAGCGCGCTTCAGCAATTCCACGCGCGAGGACCACCACCACCTCTGCGCAGCCATAGGCGCCATGGCTCAGGAGCTCAAAGACAAGAAACTCCCTTCGACCCCGGTCGCCTACTTGGGCTTCACGTGCTCTTCTCTCGACGGCCTCTCCTCCCAGCCTGAGCCTCCCGCTCATGTGATCGACGCCCTCCTCACAATTCTCTCCATTGTCTTTCAAAAAGTCTCGGCCGCAATTCTCGCGAAGAAGTCCGAGTTCCTGTCGGAGCTCTTGGTCCGTGTTCTGCGGTCTCCGTCTTTGACAGTGGGCGCCGCCGTCTCAGGATTGAAATGCATATCGCATCTGCTCATCATCAGAGGCCGTGTCAACTGGTCTGATGTGTCTTCATTGTATGGCTTCTTATTGAGCTTTATTACAGATTCCCGCCCTAAGGTGAATTGCTCACATTTTATTTGTTCTTTAATGTTGATCGGTTATCATAGAATTCATTTCATTTCATTTCTGATATTTGTAATGTAGATTCTATAAAATGGATTGAAGTTTTAATTTTTATTTGGTGTTTTAGATGTCTACTTTATAATGTACTCATTTTTATGCTAATTGTATTCTCACACAGGTGAGAAGACAATCACAATTGTGTCTTCGTGATGTACTGCAAAGTTTTCAAGGAACACCGCTGCTGGCCCCTGCAAGTGAAGGGGTTACTAACTTATTTGAAAGGTTTCTTCTGCTTGCTGGTGGGTCAAATGCAGATGCGGGTGAAGGACCCAAGGGGGCTCAGGAGGTCTTGTATATTTTGGATGCTTTGAAAGAGTGTCTTTTTCTTATGTCAGTCAAGTACAAAACTTCCGTCCTCAAGTACTACAAAACTCTCCTGGATCTGCACCAACCACTTGTTACAAAGCGCATAACAGATAGTTTGAATATACTTTGTCTCAATCCATCTACAGACGTTTCTCCTGAAGTGTTGCTCGATCTGTTATCCTCATTAGCTCTTTCTGTCTCCACGAATGAGACATCTGTCGATGGGATGACATTCACAGCTCGCTTGCTCGGTAGTGGAATGGCCAAAGTTTATTCCCTCAATAGGCATATATGCGTAGTTAAACTCCCTATTGTATTCAATGCACTCAGAGGTATGTAATGTTTTCCCTCCTTTATTGACTTTAGTTGTATACACGTTATCTTCCTATACATTCAAAAAAATCTTCCCCTGAGTTCCTGTTTGTATCTCTTTCCATTATAGAAAGCAAGACTCAAAAAGTACTCTGGTGTTTTTTCTTTGAGTTTGGCAGATGTATTGGCATCTGAGCATGAAGAGGCCATACACGCAGCAGCGCATACATTTAAGAGTCTCATTCATGCTTGCATTGATGAAAGCTTGATCAAACAGGGAGTTGACCAGATTGTAATGAATGCAAATCTGGATGCAAGGAAGTCTGGGCCAACTATAATTGAAAAAGTATGTGCTACTATTGAAAGCTTACTTGGTTATCACTACGCTGGTGTCTGGGACCTTGCATTCCAAGTTGTTTCAGCAATGTTCGATAAATTAGGTATTGCTTTTGCTGTATCTGACTGTTTTCCTGTCATTTTAAACTAAATTGTTTTTCACTTGCTATGCACTCTCCATTTCATTTAAGAGGTGTAACATCCGTTATCATACAGGGGTATATGCTTCTTATTTCATGAGGGGTGCGCTCAGGAGCTTGGCAGAGATGGAGAAGTTATCTGATGAAGATTTCCCTTTCAGGAAACAGGTCTTTTTCATATCATTTAGTTTTAAGAGATGAAGAGTACTGTTACTTGTCATTATCTTATGGATCTCTATATTTGCTCTACGGCTATCTTTGTTGTTTGACAATTGTGACTGTGTACTGGTTTGTTGACTGCAGTTTAATGGTCTTACACCAGCTTTTACATTCTGGATTGCAGTAATTTATTATTTTTTTGGGTTTTCTGGCCATCCAATGCTAAACTAAGAAAAGAAAAGAAAAGCTATAATTCCTCATACTGTATAACTTGCAGCTGCAGGAATAATTGATGAGGGAAGCCCTGTTTTGTTGCATTGCTTTGATCAGGGATATCTGGTCTAATATTGCAAATGCATAATATATATTTAAACCTTAAATTCTATAGCTACAGTTGTAGGTTTGATATTGTAACTAGGTCCACTATAGCATTTACTAAGTTTGTTTGGTTGCAAGTCAAACTCTTTTAAAAAAAAAGATTATTTGGAAGCTTCTCGTGTCGTTTCATCTTTGTTTACTCTCTATTAGTGCAGCACTTACTAATATAATGACTTATTATTTTATAGCTGCATGAATGCCTTGGATCAGCTCTTGTTGCAATGGGACCTGAAACATTTTTAGGTCTTCTACCTCTTAATTTGGAGGCTGAAGACTCAAGTCAGGTGAATGTGTGGCTCTTTCCGATACTGAAGCAGTATACCATTGGTGCACGTTTGAGCTTCTTTACAGAGTCAATTTTGGGTATGGTTCGAACGATAAAGGAGAAATCTAGAAAGGTATTTAACAGTTCATACTGATGGAGTGTTAGTTGTTTAATTCAGATGGAATTTTTTAGTTACGTCGTCGTCTTGTATTTGGCAGCTCGAGTCACAAGGACGTATTTTTTCATCAAGGAGTACAGATGCATTTGTGCATGCTTTGTGGTCACTGTTACCTTCATTTTGCAACTATGCTTCAGATACTGCTGAAAGTTTCAACGATCTAGAGCAAGCCTTGTGCAGTGCCCTTCAAGATGAACCTGAGTTTCGTGGAATAATATGCTTGAGCTTGCAAATTCTTGTACAACAAAATAAGAAAATTGTGGAAGAAATGAATGATCTGTCAGATAGTGAAGTAGGTAGTGCCAGACACAGAGCTATTGCTCATTATACCCCTCAGGTTGCAGCAGATAACTTAAGCGTGCTCAAGTCATCTGCTCGCAAGTTACTGCGTGTTCTATCAGGTGTTTTCTTGAATACCACAAAAGATGATGCAGGCTGTTTGCAGGTACGTAAGTATACTGAGGTTATATGTCTGATAGTGTTTGTCCTGCAAAATGCTTGATAAGAATGCCAAATTGGCATGGATTTTAAAATAGTCATGAATTTGTGAGTTTGCTACTGGAGTAACAAATACAGCTCCCATACGAATCATGCATATCGTCGTTAAAACCAAAAAGTAAAAAGTATTCATGACACAATCTTGTATTTGAGAATGAGAGGCGGAGAGGAGTTGTCTCTTTATCGCATGTACTAGGTACCTGGTAGTGGACATTTTAAAGAATTTCAACATAATTGAGTGACAAAGGCAAAGGAAGAAAATGGGGTCGTGACAGACTCACTCTATAAGCTCCAGTCCCTTTTTTACAGTATCACCCTTTTCAGTCTCTTTTTTCTTTCTTTTTGATTTCCCTGAGACGTTTTAAATAAATTTGTACCTCTTTTTTTCTCCTTGCTTCCCCCAACATTTTGTCTTTTTAAAAAATGGGTCCAATTTTTACTTGAAAATAGACCTCTATCTTTGATACATGTTCGTACTTGTTAATGTGGTATCAGTTTTTGTGAGGTTGAGATTAATTATGTTTGCACTGTTTACAGTCCACAATTGGTGAGTTTGCTTCGATAGCAGATAAAGAAGCTGTGTCAAAGTTTTTCCGAAATAGAATGGGGATGCTTTTAAAGGTTACTGAAGAGGCTAGCAAAGCAGAAAGTCCTAGAGATTTTAATTCCAAGCGGTATATCAATACTTTTTTGTTGTTGTTTATCTCGTTTAGTTTTGGCTTTTTATAATTTAATTATTTCTTCTCTCTCTCTTTGTGGAACATCTGACATTACATTAATTCTTCCATCTTAACTGCAGGGCACAACTGTTTGACTTGGCAATTTCATTTTTACCTGGTTTACATGATAATGAGGTTGATGTTCTATTTATTACAATAAAGAATGCATTACAGGTTTGAAAGTCTTTCTCTTCTGTCTGGCTATTTTGTTCGTTTCTAAGGGATCCCGCAATGCTTCAAAAAAGGAAAGGTTGCACTAACTAAGGGCTTCCTGACTTCAGGATGATGAAGGTTTGATACAAAAGAAGGCATATAAAGTTCTTTCAATCATTCTCAGGGTATGCAAAAGTTAATAATTTGTATGCTTTGAATTATATGGATAATCTATAATAATGCTTCTATACTGTGACTTTTATTGTCATCATCTGTCACTGGAAAATATGGGGAAACATGATTTACTGGTTGTAATTGGTTTGTTTTGCGGTTAATGTCGTAGTTGAAGAAGAGTTGGTAACATATATCAATCATAATTTTCTGGAATACTCATGTTTTCAAAAATAAGAAAAAGGAGAAACAATAAGATGAAATTATGTGCTGCTGGGCCATCACCTGCCTGTTACCGTGGTGTTTTTTTGCCCCCTTTCTAGCTTATGTATCTCTTTGCTGAATGTATGGTCAGGACTGTGATTCGTTTCTTTCATCGAATTCATCGAAGCTCAAGGAATTGCTTGACCTTATGGTTAATGTGCTGCCTTCATGCCATTTTTCAGCTAAACGGCACAGACTCGACTGCTTGTACTTCCTAGTAGTCCATGTTTCAAAGGTATCCATAAATAAACGATACCTCACTTTTCGATTAATCTAAGATTCATTCCTTGTAGCATTAAATCTTCCATTATTAGGAACAAAGTTTACATTCAAGTTTTGTACGTATGGCGCTCAATACCTAAGAACTTCAATCTTTTTGTAGAGTGACACAGAGCAGTGGCGGGATGACATCATAAGTTTCCTGACAGAAATAGTTCTTGCACTTAAAGAGGTAAAGTGGTTTATCAGCTGCAATATCTGGTTTAATAAGTAGTTTTAATATTCCTGACGGATAAAATTATTGCACTTAAAGAGGTAAAAGATCTTGCATGGCTCTTCTGAACTTTATGTTTGATATGAATTGTTAATGTTTTTTTTTCCAATGCAGGCTAACAAAAAGACAAGAAATAGAGCTTATGATATCCTTGTCCAAATTGGCCACGCCTGTGGTGATGAGGAGAAAGGCGGGAATAGAGAACATCTGTTGGAATTTTTTAACATGGTACTGAATATTGTTTCAGATTGCTTAGTTATTACTGCTCAAATTTGCTGATAAGTCTATTGACTAGAAGTCCATACTTCAGAAGTCTGCGTGGAGCAACCTCTTTTGCCCCCTTCCTGCTTTTGATTATGACTGATTCAATCATCTTTAATTGGTCTTCTGTGGACCAGAGTAGAAATTGATATATAAATGTGTAGCTAGTCTAAGCTGATCTTATGGTCACAGGTAGCTGGGGGCCTAGCTGGTGAAACTCCTCATATGATCAGTGCTGCAATGAAGGGCTTAGCTCGGTTGGCTTATGAGTTTTCTGATCTTGTTTCAACCGCTACCAATTTGCTTCCGTCCGCATTTCTCCTCCTCCAGAGAAAGAACAAAGAAATAATTAAAGTAGACCCCCTCTCTTTTAGATCGGCATTTTGGAGTTATTAATTATTTTGAGTTAACTGCTTAGTAAATCATTATGTGATTTGTTATTTCAATTGATCTTACATGAATATTTTCATTTATTTATTTTATTCTTAGTTGGGCGTTTCCTTATTGCAGGCTAATTTAGGTTTGTTGAAGGTATTAGTGGCCAAATCACAAGCCGAGGGGTTGCAATTGCACTTGAAAAGCATGGTGGAAGGCTTGCTGAAGTGGCAAGACGCTACTAAAACCCACTTCAAAGCCAAGGTTGTTTCCTCAATTAAAATGCTTGTGACTCAATTTAGACATCTAGTTCAGTTGGTTTGATAATTAGTCCAAATTCTGACCACTAGCTCGTCAAACCTGAATTGATTTCAGGTTAAGCTGCTTCTAGAAATGCTTGTCAAGAAATGTGGGCTCGATGCTGTTAAGGCTGTGATGCCTCAAGAACATATGAAATTACTTACCAACATACGGAAGGTCTGTCGAGAGACGTCTTGGTAGAATGAACATTTTCCAGGGTACTCACTACTTATTTCTGATCTTCCTTTTTTATTTATTTATTTGAATACAGATCAAGGAACGGAAAGACCGGAAACTGGGTTCTAAATCTGAGGAAGCTAGATCTCAAGTTTCCAAAGCAACTACATCCAGGTCTCAGTCTTACATAATTAAAATTAATAAATGCTTGAGCACAACAAATACTTGTGTGCATATTAATGTCTTATTGTACACAGATGTATGTTACCAATTGAAGCTTATGTGATATAAGCTTCAATTCAGTAGCTCAATTCAGCTTCTACTTAGGCTGTGTTTTGTAACTTTATTTTATTTTCTGTCTTCTTTTCAGGTTAAGCAGGTGGAACCATACAAAAATATTTTCTGATTTTGATGATGAAGAAACTGAGGATAGCGATACAGAATATATGGATGCCAAAACAGTCTTGGGCAAACATGGCAAGGCTTTCTCGCAGCTCAAATCCAAAGCATCTTCATTACGGTAGGTTGTATTTTATGTTCATAATGGATTGGGAATGAGTAGATTATGCATCGATCATGATCTTGGTAGCTAGAAGTTTGTCTAACGGGTGTTGCTTGGATCATATCTGACGGTCTGGAAATGTTAAAAAATGATTTCTTAAATAAACACAATCCAATTTAAGCAAATTTATCCAGCAGATCATGTAGCCTGTGGTTCAGTTGGTGGTTTTGCTTGCCATTTTTGGAAGTTCTACATCATCCGACGCCTAAGATAAATTAACACAATTGTTTGTAATACAGAAGAACAAAGAAGAACTTGCTTGATCAACTAGAAGATGAGCCACTCGACTTGCTTGATCGGCAAAGAACGAGGTCAGCACTTAGATCATCCGAGAATTTAAAGCGAAAAATGGAGTCGGATGATGGGCCAGAGATAGACGATGATGGGCGCCTAATAATTCGTGACGAAGCAGAATCGTACAAGAGAAAGCCATCGGAACCTGATTCAGATGTAAGAAGTGAAGCGGGTAGTTACTTGTCCGTAGACTCAAAGAAAACACAGAAGCGGCGGAAGACATCAGAGTCCGGGTGGGCTGCCACCGGCAAAGAGTACGCCAGCAAGAAGGCCGGTGGGGATTTGAAGAGGAAGGACAAACTTGAACCGTATGCATATTGGCCGCTTGATCGAAAAATGATGAGCCGTAGGCCGGAGCATAGGGCAGCTGCAAGAAAAGGGATATCAAGTGTGGTGAAGATGACAAAGAAGCTGGAAGGGAAGAGTGTCTCAACTATTCTCTCCACTAAAGGCTTAAAGTTTAAGAATAGAAGTAGGGTTCAGAAGGGAGGCAGCAAGAAGAAAAGGTAGGTGAGGAACAGGACTACTTCGATCGACACATTGAAGGGAAACTTGTACTAAAGGGTTTTTTAAATTTTATAAATTACAGTAATTTTTTTGATTTATTAATTGTTATTATTGTTCTTATACTGAATGGACGCTTGTTCTGGGCTTGGGTCATGTTGTGGGTAAGCATATTAGCTGATGGGTTGCTAAGAAACTTCTAATGGGCTTTGAATTGCTGTTACTCCCTGAGGCTCCACTGTAAAGAAAGCATGAATGAAATGAATTGGACGTTACTTATTTTATTTCCCGTTTCTGAATTTCCTCTTTCAGTATTAGGGTCTATCATACTGAGCAGCGCAGCCAGCCTTTCAAAAAAGAAAAAGAAAATAAGCGATGAAGAAGGAGAAGAAGCTATTATATTCGTAAGGGTAAAGAAAAGCGATTTTCAATCTCTTTCTGTCAACTTTCTTGAACTTATGAATTCTAAAACACAAACTATGAGAGTGAGGTGTGTGATGGATAAAGTGGGCGTGTGAAAATCGTCACCCAAAAAGCAAAAACGAAACACAAATTAAAACAAAACAAAACAAAACAAAACAAAATACTTGTTATTGGAAACATCATGATAAAAGCAAAAATTTGACAAGATACAAGCAGCTCACAGTTTCGAGAAAAGTAATGTCATGCAACTGCAAACTCAAATTTCATTACAACTATCTGATCTTATCAGCCAACTACTTGTACATGAAAACCAAAATCAAATGGCAACTATTGCCCTTGCGGCAGTTCAATGACTAGCACAAACGAAGATCAAACCCTATTGTGGCTATTTATGAGAAGGGAAATTTTCTAAGCAAAAGTATTTCTTGATAACCATTGGGTGAGCTCTTAATGTTCTACTTATGGGCCACCTCAACAGTCTTCTCCAGCGATCAACTGTCAAACCGAATTAAGTTTTCAGAGCCGCAACTCACTCAACCAAACAGAAGATCAAATACAAAGGAGACTTCATGGGCGCTTACTGCAATTGGATCAATCCCATCTGCAAATAACAACTTTTGCTCAACTTATGTAAAGCAAACTAAACAAAAGAAAGTGAATCTTCTACTTCCTAAAGAAAGATGTCCTACAATATGTTCTACTTTATTTGTTATACATATTACAATTCCTTCTAACAAAAAAGTGACAGTATGCAAACATACCTTAGGGATTGCAGCAAAAGTTGGAGTAGCACACTAGATCTGTGTTACTACTTGTAAGGGGCAAACAAGACTGACGAGTTGTGGCCACCGAACCCAAATGAGTTAGACAATGCCACCTTAACGTCCAGTCTCTCCTTCTTTGGGCCCACTAGTAGTTTTGTATCCTGAATTGATGTGTAGACAGAATTTAGATGATTTCAGTGATAAATTGAAAATAACTATCGTTTCACTTCCTATCATACATCATAAAAGGGTGACAAGACCATAAAAGGTCACATACCACACCCTCATCTGGGTTTTCCAGATTGATATTTGGATGAATCCACCCAGTTCGTATTGCCTACACAAAAAGAAAATTACATGTCAAGAACTACACCTGAAAATGAAAAAAATCAGCTAAGGCATAATTTTGCAAGTTGTATTTGGTCTTTACATACAAGACTTGAAAAATATGTAGTTCTTCCAAGGTAAAAACAACACATAAGTTACCTGTACTGCTGCAACAGCCTCTACAGCACCAGCTGCTCCTAGCAGGTGACCAATCATGGATTTTGTGGAGTTCACTCTCAACTGTAAACAGTATGAGGTTACCAAACATGGCAATACATGATATTAAGAAAACAGATAATACAAGTTATGCAAAGTGGGTTACCTCAGGGTTCTGGCCAAAACAATGAATAAGAGCATTATATTCTTTGAGGTCTCCGGCCAGTGTGGATGTAGCATGAGCGTTGATGTAATTAACATCTTCCCTAGACACCCCAGACTGAGCTAATGCCTTTTCTATGCAGAGAATAACACCAGCACCTGTTTCAGACGACATTAATAACATATTCAGATTCTAGAATGTGATAAGATTCAATGAAACAAGTGCAAGGTGACTCAGGAGCCATAAGGATACTTTCAAATATCTTGAAATCAATATAGAAAATCACTTAGCAAAAAAGGATAGACAAAGACATTCATATGTATATTTGCATTTAAATTTCTTAAATGGTGAAATTTCTTTAGTGTAAATGCGGTACAAAATAAAGAAACTAATAAATCAACAGAAACAGCTTAAAAGAAAATTTTCTTGCTTCCTTGGCTCAACAAAACAATGAGAGAATGATATTGTCAAAGGCAACGCATATTACCATCAGGGTGTGGCTCAGTCATGTGGTAAGCATCACATGTGAAGCTTCCACCAAGGAATTCTGCAAAGATAGTTGCACCTCTTTTCTACAAAAATCAAAACTAATTGGTGATTAAATGCTCTAAAGTAGCATCTATACACAAAGACCATATCACATAGTAAGATAGAAATACAGAATTAGAAATTGGGTTGATGCAACTTCAGAGGTAGCAGCAAGCAAAGTTGACTATAAGTCACCCAATGTAACCCAAGAGAAGTAACAACAGAAAGCACGAGATGGATTAACTTGAGGGAACTACAGGATACAGAATTGCTGCAGAATGTGGTTTAAAGTACCTGATGACCTACAACCTTACAGAAGATGTGATCCTACATAGAACATAGAAGAGAAAAAGCAAACTCCGAGAAACACCCAAGTGCTATTACCACGGTCATAGATATAGAGTTTAAAATACCTTAGCATGTTCTAACTCTTCTAGAAGCAAAACGCCAGCTCCTTCCCCCATAACAAAGCCATCGCGATTCTGACCAATAACCAAAAACCAGATATCGTGAGAAACAACACTAATGTAAGTCTACAAGGAAGTAAGAAACCAAGAATACAGATTACAGGTTTTGCTTTCAGAATGATGTCCCTTTATACTTGTTAAACATTTCTACAGTAAATAAACTCAAATCTCGAGCTCAGTACACATGTCTAGAACTAAAATTACATTGGCATGCTTTATGTGATCATACCATTTCATGTTCTTGACAAAAAAATTTAAAAGTTTCAGCACACAACCAATTAGGATGGGAAAAAGAACAAATGAAATTAGCATGGTTATTGATAACATTACAATATCCCAAGGGCGTGATGCTTTCGTTGGATCACTGTTTCTTTGTGAAAGTGCTCTGCATGCCACAAAGCCTCCCAATCCTGGAGTGATAACATAAGAGCAAGAATATCATGAAAATGTCGTGCAAATCTCAGTAAAAATAAGACAGAAATGATATAGTTAAGGGATGGGAGAGTTACCAATAGGTATCATCACTGAGTCTGAACCACCACAGAGCATAATATCCTGCATATAATTTCAAAGAAAATTGCAACAAAATCATAATGGCATATTTAAGGATGGTTAGTCAGTATATCCTCTTTTCTATTCAACTTTACCACTGATTCACTTCACATTTTCTTAACATTATAAAAAAAATCCATATTAAGATTTGTAGACCACTTACAGCTTCGCCTCTAATGATATGATTTGCTGAATTCAAGATACAGAAGTTGCTCGTAGCACAAGCAGTAGAAATAGAATAATTTGGGCCCATCCAACCCTGCAATTTCATGAGTAAAGCAGTTAAAAGGACAAGTACAAAATTCCAGCAGTCATTATGGTGTGTAAAAGTATTGCAAATACTAAATATAAGCTCACCAGATCCATTGCGAGCATGGCAGAACCCATGTTTGTAGTTGCAAAAGGTACACAGAACGGATTCATCTTCTTATATGAAACCCGTAAAGCTTCAATTGCATCATTGAACACCTGATCAATGTCAAAATACCAAATGAAGTCGTCAGTCGAGATATTTACTGCAGCAATGAAGAACACATAAGATTCCTTGTCCCAGCTACGGATTTTGTCGCTCAATGTGGTAATATCTAGCTTGAATTTCCATATTTTGTGAAAAGATTCGATCGACTTTACATGACATTTCAGTATGGGAGAGAAATAGTGATACACTGTCTTACATAAATAATTAAATAATATAAACAAGTCCAGTTCTGAAATAAAAGGAAGTAGTTTCGGAGAACCAAAAAAAATAACAGTCGAAAGATGTGACATAACCTTACAGACTTTAAACTAGGCTTGTTGAAGAACATAAATTGAAGATATATCAGAAGCTCTTGCAAGCCAATTTTTCATACATAATATTAAACCACAGAGCACTGAGGTTACCTTCATGCCACCCATTGCTGAACCAATCAAAACTCCACATTTAGCTTTGTCAATTTGTTTCATGACATCTTCTGTAATTCCACCATCTGCCAAGGCTTTCTTCCCAGCAGTAAGCATGTAAAGCATGAATTTATCCATTCGTCTGGAAAACTTTGGTGCTACCCATCCGTCAGTTGAGAAAGACTTGATCTCTCCACCAATCCTCTAAAGAAAAGAGAAGGTACTAAGAACATAATATAGAGAATACAACAATTGAAGGGAGGTTTAGTAAATTGTTTACCGTTGGAAATTGGGTACAATCAAAAGCTTCTATCTCACTAATGCCACTAACTCCCTCCAGCAAATTGTTGTAGAAGACATCAGAATCATGACCGAGTGGGCTCACCACACTCATTCCTGTCACAACCACTCGCCTCTGTCTTGTTGTAGGTTTCTTCTGTTTTGTTCTTTCTTCAGTAGGTTGCACAGCTACAGCCATGGTTTCCCCTATATTTCCAACAATAACAGTAATATAGAAATGAACAGAGATGATCGGCATATCAGAGGATATACAGCCTACCTATCATTTTATACCATTTGAATCTTAGGAAAGCTTTAGTTAGAGTACTCAAAGGTTTATTAGGTAGCAGAGGATTAGTCCCTCTTCTCTTTCCTCGTTCAAGATATAGCAACTTCTTGACTAACAAGACATTTTTACTCTTTTCTACATTTAAATGACATTTCCTGGCTAGTATAATCATTCATCAATCAACAGTTGGGCATTGCAGATGCTTTGAGTCAATTAGTTCCATTAGAACCATTTTACTATTAACCCAATGTTTATCTTATGGCCAGTGTAAACCCACTTTTATTACAAAAGAAAAGAAGACAAGCATAACATGAAAACTTCTTCTCCTCTTTCCAACAACATAACCAACTTCAAATAAACCAAACTGCAGTATTAAGGATAAACTAAGCCTATTAGCTTTGTAATGAAAAAAAAAGAACTTTTACACACACAACACAAACTAGCTTTTTAAAATTCCAAACTACAAATTTTTTTTTTTAAAATTCAATCAATTAAATCCAACTTCAGATACAAACGTTCAAGGAAGTAAGCGAAACAAGAAGTTATACCCAAAGCAATTGCAGTGCGTAAACACCCTCCCTACCCAAAAAACAAACACGCACGCACGCACAAAATACATTGAATTGATAGCTTCCAAGATTCTGAATATTAAAAAATAAAAACAACACAATCAACATGTTCTGATATACTTGAAAATACAATCACAAGATTAATAATTAACTGATAACAGGTCAAAACCAGTAAAAGATCACAAAAACGCGATTACCAGAATGGGCGGCTCCATGAAAACGCCTCTGCCTTCGATTGGTAGTCCCAGTTTTGGATCCAAACAGCGAGGAGAGTCCATTGGAGCCCAAAGAAGATAAACCCTTTGAGCTGTAGTACTCATCGCAGGGCTCAAAAGCCAAACAGGAGCTCATGAGGCCCTGAATGCTGGATCCACTGAAGGCAGAATTCAGGCCTTTCTGAAAATCGGCACTGAAGCTACTACATTTAGACGGCAGCCTCCTTCTTGCAGCACATTTGGGTCGTCTCTTGGAGGAGCTGAGCATGGAAGGTCTGGTGGAACAGTCCCCGTCGCACGTGACCGACATGCAAGCGGCCACGAGCCACGTGCAGAGCGGAGATGCAACAGAGGAGGCAGCCATGGACGACTCAGATGCTCAAATCCCAAAACAGCAAAAACCCAATTGGAAAGTATCGATTTGGAGCAAGTCCCAGACCCAGCAATGAGAAAAGCTTGCAAGAATGGCAATCTTGGGAAGAAGAGAAGAGGAAGAAGGCTAAAGGGTATTTGATGGAATTGATGAAAGATAGAGAAATGGTGGTGGGATTGAGGTGGTGAAGAACTCGAAGAGAATCGGTGGTAGCATTCGATTTTGTATCACTGTGTATTTGGAACGGTTGGAGACGAGACGCCAAGTATTGGGCAACTCTCAGTCGTCCTCTGAATAACAACAAGCACTCTCTCCCCTCTCTCTCTCTCCCTCTCACTGAGTAACTGTGCTATGAGGACAGAGAGGCATTTTACATATCGTCTAGCAAAATACAAAGATCTATGACCAGAAAAATGTGTACAATTATGTATTTTATATAATCTTTTTATAATTAATTTATCTTTGATAATTTAAAAAAACAACAAAATATAAACTGCCAAGACAGATGAATTAATAAATAAAATACATATAATTTAATTAGCCGACTGACTGAATGTGTTTTGATTTGTCATTGGCAGCCTTGAATTTTATAAAAAATAAAATATGGTTTTTGGGTTACACATGTAGGACAGTCTCTCTCTTGAAAGTACATATATGCCCATGGGTTGTATTATATACATATATTTTCTTTTCTTTTCTTTTGAGAGCAGAGGGATCAGGAATAAATGCATCACTGTGAGACCAGAAAGTAATAAGATCTATGATTCTATTCAGTACTTAGGTTTGGAGAACTCATGTCAAGTCACATATAAATTAATTTTCGAAAAGTTATGTCTTTTCACCGCCATGACCACCACCATCACAACCAATCAACCATTGGTTTTGGATTTGATTTGGTTTTTGTTATCTTATATTTTTCTCTATAATGTTTGTATTATGGATGATGGGTTTGTTCAGCCATCATTCATACTCAAAATTAGGCGTTGAACTTTGCTTCCACTCACTAATTACTATACCTACCTACCTACCTACAAGGAAATGGAATACTGTACTTTTCCAACAAAATGAAATTATTCATTTCATTTGAGATGAGTATAACCAAATATTTACATCGTTTGTCGATCATACCTGTCACATTACTGAATCATGATCTTTCAAAATATCAATGAGAAGTTTAAAGTCTTATTTGTATTTATAAAATGAAAACAAAAATAAAAGGACAATAATGTACCAAAACCAACAATCCCAGTCGAATAATAAAGTAGGCAACAAAAACAGGCACCTACATACAATTTAAGAGCAAACTGAAAATGAGGTTGTTGGATACAATAAATATAAAAGAAATAAAATCAAACTGTAGGAGATTGTGCTAGCTAGTCGGCTCCTATTGACATCAATATATGCATGCAATATTTATTTTCTGAGAGAAAACGTTTTCAACTTATTTGCATGCAAAACAATCAAAAGTTAGCTTGGACAAAAAGTTTGGTTTTCTAAAAACATGTCGTGCTGCATCTCATTTGCATGCAAAGGCCAAGCCAAGCCAATGCTTGCTTGATGGTGATGATGATCTCACGCCTCATTCTCATCGACCATATTAGCTCACGGCGTTTTTCACATGACGAAATCCGTGTTCTATTGCAATTGTCTTTTCCCAAAAGCACGAAATTTGCTTGACCCTAATGAGTTTTCAATTCAAGTTTCCATGCTATATTTCCAAATTCCAATTGGTTATTAATGTTAAAACTGCTTTGATGCTTTGTAGGGGCCTGAATACTTGGGCGGTAGATAGTGACTAATCATCCAACTCCCATAGGTTTTGTTGCCCTCTAATTTGATTCGTATAGCATCTGAGCATGTTCTTTCAAAGGTCCATCTAGTCATAAACACCCAACCCAAGCACCGTGCTCTTGTTATTGTCTTGAAGGGCACTATTTATTTACTTTGATAATTAACATTTTGTATGTATAATTATTACCCTTTTTTCTTCTTTTACGAAACGATATTTTAAACTACTATTTAGTGAATGAAGAGGATGATCGAACTCGAACGGCAATAAGCAAGTCTACATGCCGTACCAACTAGCATAATCCACTTATGCATATATAACTACTACTTTATTACTTAACAGAAAGAAAGAAAGAAAAAACCCAAAAGAAGGTACGGAAAGACCTCATAATAAGAGGTGGAGGAAACCCTACTAAACACAAGGAGAATTGAATGGGAAGTCAACATAGGTAAGCCAAACTCGACATCTTCCCAACCAAATTCCTCTGTTTTCCTATTTTCATGCATATTTCAATAAAAACAAGTTGAGTTGGCAAACCCTACAGCCAAGACATAATAGAAAATTTTATTAGAGAGCGACTCACAACCACTTTTTCCCTTTCCCCAACTTCATCTCAACCTTCCCTAAAGCTTTAAGATTTCGTACAAGAAAACTTGGGTTCACCCCAACAAGAAGATCGTACGGAGAATATATAATGATTTTTATTGTCTGAGTGAATTGTTCTATAACTTCTATTGTTGCTTCTTTCATGTGGCCCGCAACAAATACAACCTTATCATGGATGGCCCTTCAAAGATATTTACTGAACGTACAATTTGGCGAGAAAAAGAGTGGAAAATTTAAAAAAGTTTGACAAAGGAGTATCTCAGATAACCCAAATAGTTGTAAAGGCCAGTTTATATTTGCAGCACATACAGTAAGGCCCAACAGGTGAAGGCCTGAAACTGAGATATTCACACAATCAGATTAGGCCCACATGAGGGCCAACAGTTGAAAATATAGTTAAAAATGGAACAATTTTCAAATACAGGGAATGGAATTTCCAGAGTATTACAGGAGAGAAATAGAAATGAAAACAAAAAGGAAATCTTTTTCGTGAAAAGAACAGCACACAACAAACCTCAATGGGGAGAATCATAAAAAAAAATTTACACGGGACAATTTCTATATTTGCAAATGATAAGATACAAAGTACACCAAAATCACCAACAGACACGTTGGAAGCATATCTCATGTTTGTGGGGTTGTAAAATGCACTGCTGGATTGTCAGCTGAGATAGGTGTGATGATAAAATGGTATCGGGGGGCATGCATGTTGTACCGGGGAAGGGCCTGATGTCAAATTACAGACGTCCTGCATATCCTGCATCACATACTAGATCCAAAACATAGGAAACGGCACATCTGAGTATATTATCAAACAATCAGCTTCTATTGAGAAGAAAAATGTCCAACTAAGAATATGTGAAGGGCCAGAAGAATTAAAATTCATTGCTGACTTTAATCAACTTACTTCATTCTATAGGTTCTGACGTTGGATTTCGCTCCTCAAGTAATGTTTGAACTCTCTGTAAAATATACCAGATGTAAGTAAAGTCTGCAAGAAAGAAGAGCATACCCTACTTTTAAAACAAAAGTAGGAAGTTTGGCGTTCTACCTTTACAGAACTTCCAACTTCATCAAGTTTCTGCAGTAGTGTTAGATCCCCATACCTGAGGGGCTTTGACGGGGACATCTGAAGCTGACAATAGAAAGAAAGAGAACTAATAAATATTGAACTTCTGAAAGACAATTGCCTAGCTGAACAAGATAAGGAAGGGCTTTTCCTAGCATTGTTAATGGCTAACAGGTTCTCAAGGTTTAATCAATATGCCCAGATCAAGCTTGTCAAATATAACCGAAATAAGTTCAACTTCCTTTGATAAGGACCGGAAGCATCTGGCATATGACCCTACCCTCAAATTGGGAATGTCTTCAAGCGTGGAAACTTGTCTAGAGAAAACCTCATTCGTCATGCTTGACAGGCGCATGAGGACAGCCTGAAATGGGACATCAAGGTTGATAAAGTAACTCATACTTACTAAACTTGGGGATAACTTTAACACAACTACAGTGAGTAAGTACCTTCCTGAAAGCACTGGGATTTGCAATGCCATGGATTTGAACATCATCGCTTGGCGGCCTTCTGACACCAACATGCTCTATTCTAAGTGAGTAGACACCATAGAGAGACTGCAGATATCCTGAGTATAACAATAGCATTATAGGCGGTTCTAAGACATCACCAGCAAGACTAAGGTATTGGAAAATAACATTCATGTAGCAACTGACAATGCTCTTTACCTTGCTCAATTACAACATCAGCGACTGAAGGCAACAAAACATGCTTTTCTTTCTTCAGCACCCCAAAAATTGGAAATGGAACTGGCTTTGTAACCTGAGCTAAAGAAACAAAGTATCATCCAAAGGTAACCATCTGTCCATAATTTCATATAGCAAAACCAACCAACCAACCATAGTCCAGCAGCATTCAAAGATTGATCAATTGAAAAACAATCATATTAAACAAGAACAAAGCACATTCAAGAGCTCGAATTATCAACAAGAAGAAAAGGATTCAAACTTCAAATTTGAATTTACCTTGTAGACAATAGCATTAGGAGTGAGATAGAGCTTTCTGGACCGAATATCCTTGCGCAAAATGTATCTTCGGACTGGTAAATAAAGCAGCATGAAGAACCCAATTCCCCATGCCAATATTAAAAGCAAAGAGTAAAGCAGCCATTGTGCTGTTCGGAACTTCACATAATTCTCCTCCATCTCCTGAAACGAAGCTGAATACAGAACTATTTCATCTTCGGCTTCATTTGCAGTATCGGATAGTAACCCTTTCTCCAAGCTATCTACGACGTCGTCCGAACCCATCTGAATTGCTCACAGATACAGATGCGCGCAAAAACCCTAAAGCCCGAGCTACAGCCAACCACGAAATAAAGGTAAAATTTTCCCGAAATTGAACTACACGAAGTGTAAATAATTCGATCAAGTTCACATGGAAACAATTGAAGCTTACCGATTGATTAATGTGTTTGTTGGAGACTTCTCACGGGTTGAAGATGCAAGAGAAAGACGAGGAGGTTCAGAAGCACCTCTTCAGCCTTTTTCAGTTTTCAGCTCAGGCGGGCCAGGCACTGCAGTTTCATTGTGGGCTGGGCCAGGGTCCAAATTTGTAATATTTAGGGTCCAGCCCAATAATTTTCGGGTCGGGTTGGTGCTGGAATAAGAAGTGAATTCGAAGTAGGAACTTGGAGCACGAAAGAAGCAGCAGCAGCTCAAATGGTGGCCGCCAAGAGAAAAAACACACAAACAGAGGAAGGTGAAATCTTCTCGTCTTGTTCTTTCTCCAGCCTCGGCCTTCACTCAAACTTATGCGAGCAGCTCGAAGGTAATACAAATTTTTTTATTTTTGCCAAAACTATAATTTAATTCTCTTCCGAAATAATAAAGAAAATACCTTTTTGTTGTTTGAACGAAACAGAAAGGTTGGGCTTCAAAGCTCCAACTCTGGTGCAAGCTCAAGCCATCCCTGTAATTCTCTCCGGCCGCCATGTGCTTGTGAATGCGGCTACGGGCACAGGCAAAACGGTGGCGTATTTGGCTCCGGTTATCCAACACTTGCACTTGTACCAACCTCGAATTCAGCGCTCCGATGGCACTTTCGGTAGGTACCATACAAACATAGCATCGATATATTTTGTGAACAAACTTACAAGCATGCTTGTAAGCTCACATACTAACATTGACATATGCTTGTTTTGATTGCTAGCGTTGGTTCTTGTGCCAACGCGAGAGCTGTGTTTGCAGGTTCATGAAATCCTGCACAAGTTACTGCACAGGTTTCATTGGATTGTCCCTGGTTATGTAATGGGAGGTGAAAACAGGAACAAGGAGAAGGCCAGGCTGCGCAAAGGTGCCCGAAATTTAATTTTTGGTTATTGGTTTTTGTTAAAGATATTTTTTGGTATGGTCTGCTCACAACCCAACTGCTTTTTTCAGGCATATCAATTCTTGTTGCAACTCCTGGACGACTCTTGGATCACCTGAAGAATACATCATCGTTCTTGCACACAAATTTGCGTTGGATTATCTTTGATGAAGCAGATAGGTATGCTACACATACACCATTCGAGTTTTTATTATATACTCTATCATGAATGTGTACAATGCTATTATTGTATCCAATTGTCATTGTATAATTTGGACGTGCAATCATTAGATATCCATATGTTTTTTTACAGAATTTTGGAATTGGGATTTGGAAAAGAAATAGAGGAAATACTAGATCGTTTGGGTTCAATGCAACATGGCTCTGCCACTGAGGATAGTGTTGTTTCAACTAAATACGAGTTTCAGAGGCAGAATTTGCTATTATCAGCGACCTTAAATGAAAAAGTCAATCATCTTGCGAAAATGAGTTTAGAAAAGCCTGTTATGATTGGCATGCCTGAGAAAAAGACGCAGTCAATTGCACATGAGCATTTAGGATCTGACACAGATGATGAACCACAACCTTCAGTAAAGACAACAGGCTCTTTTAATGAAGATTATAAACTTCCAGCTCAATTGACCCAGAGATATGTAAAAGGTATGTGCCAATACTTTTCTTTTCTTTTCTTTTTTATTGTTTTTTGGGTTTTTTGGGGAGCGTTGGGGAGGGGGGGCAGGGTATGATTCATTAGACTACATAATAGATGTGGTGATTAACTGTTTTGATCAAATTTCTTTGCAGTACCATGTAATGCACGGCTTGCTGTACTTCTTTCCATTCTAAAACATCTTTTTGAGCGAGAAACTTCCGAAAAGGTAAAGCCTACTACTCAACCTTCCATTTTCTAATGGTTATGGAAGCTAGCTTTTTCTTTCTTTGGCAGTCGTTAGAATCTTCATATTCAAGATTATACTTTTCAATTCTGTGATATTGTGCTAGTGAGTTCATATAAAGGGATAATGTCCTTCAGCATCAATGATGTATCCTATTTACCACATCCTGAAATCCTCGAAGTGATGTCTTATATTGTTAACACAGTTTGGGTCTTTCTATGCAGTCTTCAACTTCATTTTATTATGCTTTACCTTGTCAGTTCTCACTCACATGCTCATTTTACAGATTGTGCTATTCTTTTCAACATGTGATGCAGTGGATTTTCACTACTCCTTGATAAGTGAGTTCCAATTCAGACCTCACTCAGGACTAGAAGCAGAACTTAAGCAGATGTTTGTTAGATGTAAGACCTTTCGATTACATGGGAATATGAAGCAGGAGGATCGAAGAACTGCTTTTGAAACCTTCAAAAAAGAAAAATCGGCTCTTCTGTTGTCCACAGATGTTTGTGCTAGAGGTTTGGATTTCCCGAAAGTAAAATGTATCATACAATATGATTCTCCAGGCGAGGCTACTGAATATGTTCATAGGTATTTAAACTTATCCATCTTCATTTTTCTTTTCCCATTTTATCCCCCCTCCTCTTTCCTGCATGTGCAACAATATAAGCCAGAGTTTTGATTGTTTTCAGTCCGTGGATGCTCATTCACCTAAGTAACACTTTTATCCGCAGCATTACATGATTATACATCATCAAAGTTCCTCATGAGATGCATAAGAAAATAACGATATCCCAATATTTTAAATTATTCAAATATTTGAAAAGCCTTAAGAACTAATTGGTTTTAAAACGGAGTGATGTTGTTTTTTCAGCAGCTAAAATTACAAGGTTATTTATTTTGAAGTTTTGTTTCTTAGCATGGAATTTCACTACACCAAGTCTATCATGCATCTTTAATGTTTTTCTTGATATTTATTTCATACTTGATGTAGGGTTGGAAGAACCGCTCGGCTTGGCGAAAGAGGAGATTCATTGTTATTTTTACAGCCAATTGAAATGGATTATTTGAAAGAGTTGGAGAAACATGGTGTTTCCCTACAAGAGTATCCCCTCCTCAAAGTATTAGATAGTTTTCCACTATTTGGTCATAAGCATGTCAGGAAGTTTCTTTCCATTGACTCACATCCTTGGGTGATGTCTTTGCAAAAGGCACTTGAAGCATTTACAGAGAAGGTACTTCTCTTCTCCTGATTCTTCTTCAGTGTGCCTTAAAAGTATGCTTTGTCGAGCTGTGTTTGTACTGTGAAGAAAGCCCTCCATCCAGTTTTGGAATTTTTCTTAATCTTTAGCTATCTCGCATTATTGTGAAACCTTAGCAAATGACTTATCCAAACCAGATACTTAAGGAAATATCCTTTTACTTTTAATATGTTTGCTGGGTATGCCAGCCAGATTTATAAGTCTGAATATTTGTAATAATTATGAGTTTCTTTCTTTGTGATTAACATTAACACATTGCCTTCATTTCTTTTCTCAGCCAGATACGAAGACACTGGCCAAAAACGCATTTTGCTCTTGGGTTCGTGCATACACTGCCCATCGTGGTGAGCTGAAAAGAATATTTATGGTGAAGAAACTTCACTTGGGACATGTTGCAAAAAGCTTTGCCTTGAAAGAACAACCTTCCTTGGTTGGTAAATCATTCCAGAATCAAGTAAAGAAGAGGAAGAGGGATGAAAAGCAAAAGGGATTATCAAGAAAGAGGAAGGTTTTCAGGAAAACATGATTGCAGACTTTGATACCAACATATAGATGGTTGTGGGAGATGCAATCATGCAGATGGGTAAAAGCTTGTTTTGGTAAGAAAATTTGTATGCTGTAACAAAGTTTGCATGTATTGCGGGCTTCCTTAGAATACTTGCTGTCACCTTGTTTCTGTGTGAAGTGATGGTGGTCGACCTCACTCTCTGTAAAGTATGGTTCATTTGCAATGCAGTTTTGCTGATGCTTGCAAATTTAAAGAGAGAGTTTGCTGTTAATTTAAATTTGTTTTGACACACTTGCAGTCAATAGTCATTTGTTGTAACTTATAACTACGGAATCTCAATTCTTAATCCGTGAAAACTTTCATGCAACGGGATGCCATCGTGACGAGGATTCCAAACTAATCAAGCATTGCCATGTGAGAAAGTTAAGACGCATGGCAGTGCGTGATTAACTTGAATACCGCCAAAGAGACATCTTCAATGTATATTATATTAGTTTCTCTTTGTAGACATAGCTCACCTTGTCAAAATGTAAGCCAGTGTACAATTTTGGGCCACAACCAGTGTTGTTCTCTCTGTAGCACTCTGGGAGCACCATTGAGATTAATGTGATTGCCTTATTGAATTAGGTAAGTATGCATAATGCACCACTTGTTCAATGATGACCTTACCTTTCCTACAAAATAAGGAAATCGATAAAATATGGGAGGGCTATGTATTTATGAAATATTATATTAGTCGACCAAATCCACCGTCCTCGTCATCTCACATGCTCTCTCACAGAGGAGAAAAAACTTTCATCAATGGTTTTGTTGGCATTGGAAGGAATTGTACAGTTCTGTCAGTTACAATAAGTCCGGTGATTTTAATGCATAATTGTTGTGATCTTACGTAAGATGATTTTCAATATGATGGACATTGTCAACATTTTCCACAATCCATATAAAATAATGGCTCATTTGGGAGTGATTCTAAATAAGTCAAAATCACTTTTGAAGAGAAACACCTTTTATCTACTTATTTAAACAAAAAAAGAGTTTGGAAATATTATTTATGATACTAAAGTACGATTATATGATATAATTTGTCTGCATTCTTTTCTGTATGTCAGAACATTAGATCAGATTTCAGTGTCAACAGAGTGAAACCTACCAATAATAACAATATAGAAGATTTAGCTACCTGATGAGCTAGTTTATGATTAGAGTTTGATAGACCAGACACATTTGCTATTGGCAATTGGCCAAGAAAAAAATAAAAAAAATAATCACACTCTTAAACTCTTTTGCCATGCCAAGCCAAAATGGATGTTCAATTTTGTGAATAATTGAACAGAGTTGAGCAAGACGTTTGCAAACAGTCAAGCATACGTTAGATAAAGGGTCAAAATCAAAGCCACATGGATTGACGGAGCTACGGAATTCGGGTGGGCCCAAATCAATCACATCCTTACGATCATTTCGTTTCTTCCCTCAAGGCATCAGACGCGTTGACGAACGCAGGACCATAGGCCAATGATGAGGTGTCCAAACCCCCACGTCAGGTGAATTTAGCATCGCTTGGTTTCGGTTATGCGTTGGGCCCACAAACCTACCTAATTAAGGACAAAGTAGGCCCATCTTAAATTCAGCTCAGGCCCACGACATATCATTTGGCCCACTTCACGTCCTTATTGTCGGATCATAAATCAAACCTCTTTGTTTTTAAACTGGGAATATTCTCTCTCCACTGTGAAAAAAGCTCCAATAATTACAGTCTCGGTAAAACTAATCAGTATGCTTGGTTGGAGCATTTAACGGTTGGAAATTCTTTGGGCACAGAATCATTGGTGGGAAATCTTCATTTCAAGAATTAATCATGGCCATTGATGATTCAAAGTGTAGGGCATGCATGGTATAGATACAAGGTTCGGTATGACATTATAATGGTGACCTTATCTTTGGTATGTGAACGGTTACTATTCAACATTAACTCTAAAGATGTCTTGAATTCAAATATCGTGATCGATAATTAACTGTTAGATGATTGAAAAAAAATCATAGTATCATCGGTCGAGCTAGAAAAAAAATTCAAATTAAATCTGATGAACCCAAGTATGGCGTGGAATTTATGTCAACTAAATTCTTGATTGGCAACTCACATGGCATCCAGCAGGAAATGCAAGGTTCAATTGATCTACATTTAGGCGGTACGTTCTGCACCAAATCACAGATTGAATGCTTTTGGAAACACAAAACTTGTTGTTTTTGGGTTGTTTGGTGTAAGTTAGAATTATACGCAAATGATTTGCTAGCCTCTCCTTTTGATGCAGAAATTAAAGGCCTCTGTCAAAGCTTCAAATATTTGCTGGAAGATGTTTCTCTTTCAACAATTTAATTAAAAACAGAAACTCTGTCCTCACTAATAAATTTGATATGTATCTATCTAATAGTGACAAATTTATAATGTCCTGCTATATATATATATATATTTTTGCGTCAGAAAAAGAAGGGCAATAATTCAAATTTTACCAGAAAAAGAAACAAGACTGGAAAAAGCTTCGCTTTCATGCAGAAAACACAGAGTCATTTTGAAAACCAGTCCCCACGTGACTGACAATAATAATTCATACTAATTTTTATATGGGGTTGTCGGCCTTGCAATAAAAATACAAGAGCCGACTTTTCTTTAATCTATTTGGAGCGGGGTTTGATTGGAAATTACTTGAATTTGGATATGCAAATGTGGGAGACAGGGGCAATGATATTTACAGACTCATTGTGCATTTATATTTTTCTTGGGACACTTTGAAGGGAAGGTTTCCTCTAACAAGCATTCGTTCCGTCAATCTCGTTTCTTGCTTGCTTCTTGGGGGTTCATCAATTGCTTCCTACTCAATGTTCACGGTATCTATATTTATATTTGTAGGGTTATGGCTGCCAAATATTCTCATCAGATCCAACCCCATGTGAAGAGAGAACATGCATAAATGAAATAGAGAATAGATGGTTACTTATTATTATTTATTTTTATTCTTTTTTCTTTGTTGTGTTGTTCTTTTTGCTTGTTGGATATCTTGTTTTGTTCGTACACATACACATCTTTTCTTTCTTTCTCGAACATATAGTGAGTTACACACAGAGTTTAAAAGGATCACATTTAATTAACAACTCAATTACTTATTAGGATCCAACGGTCCAAATGGATTGCTAGAACTTGGTAGGTGTCATTTATTATCTCTAAGAACAAACCCATTTAGTGAAGATGAGAAGGGTGGGAAGGGATTTGCTTGGACAACATACACATATCACTAATTGGCTTCAAAAACCTATCTTCAACCACAAGTTGGAGGGAATGGGAGTTGATTGATTGAACCCCACCTATGAATGGTGCAGTACAAGATGCCTCCTTGAATTGGTCTACATAAAAAAAAATAATGTGGCTAATCTTTTCTCAGTGGATAAAACAAATAATTTGCAGGCCCTCCTTTGGAGATATTGTTGAATCACCTGGATGGTGACCTTAGTGGCTCGGATATCAACATCACCATAGTGGCTCAGTTATCAACATTGTCTTTCTCTTCCTTATTATCTTTCCCCCATTGAGAGCTTCTAGTATATATCACAAAACAAACCACTCCCGATTAGGGCTCAGTGATGTATGTGAAATTAGGGTCGGCTCGAACACAATTTATGAGTAATTATGCGTATTCAGAGTTTATCTTTAAACAGCGTTATAAAGTATAACTATTTCGTCCTCAAAATAATCAACTAAGAAGATTAAGAATGCAAAACCCTAAAGGACACTTCTAAATTTTTACTAATAAAATTGGAATTGCCAAACTGAGGGGCACAGGACATGGACCATGACTCATGTTTAACGGTTAGAGGATCCATCAAGAGATTTGCATGTCACGTCCTTGTCTTAGCATATACTAACATATCAGTCATAAAATTAGTTAATTTTCATTGGGAGCTATGTTTTAAACTTAAACTTACGGAGGTTGGTTTAGTGAAAAAAATCTCATGATTAGCGTAGTCAATTAAAGACAGTAGTTAATTAACAATGATTAAAATGACACCCAGGCCTAGGTCCCAAGATGTATAATTAAGTTTCCTTCGTCTCCTTGTTGTCCCTTACCTTTCTGCGCTGCGCTAATATCAAACTATATGATTAGCAAAGCCATGTGCAAACTAACATGGTTTCATAAATCATTCTCTTCGCATGCCAAGCGCCACGGGCAACGGAATATAATTAAGACAGACGGAATCATTTGGATTTGCCTCTACCATGCCTTAATTAATTAAACTTGTGCATCCCAAATCTTTAATTTACACTGCTTGGTACTAAATCAATAATTAAATTATCTGTCGGTTTTTGAATATTTAGGTTAACTTGTAATCGATTCTTTGATGTATCAGAAATTATAGATTGATATCCGCCAGCCGGTGTCAGCTAGCTAATCATTTACTTTAAATCCAAATTATACAGCACATGCATGTCGTTAAAATTGAAAAAAAGATGTGGCTTTTGTGGTGATATTATAGTAATGGCAGACACTCTTTCTGCGTGGAGTTGATGTACATCTTATTGTTAGTGCTCCATGCTAACAACAAGCAAGAACTGCTTTATCTGAGAAATCGAATTAATAAAGAATAATGGCATCAGCTTTAGCAACGTACGGCAAGCTATCAGTTAGGTTTACGAAAGATCATTGGAGGACGAAGGGTTAGTTATGTCTTGTCTCCTTTTCTTTCTTTTTCTTTTTTAATGGTCGAGGATATATGGGGATGGGGATGTGAATTTAGTCGATGATTTCCATGTCGTCTTGCTGTTCTCATATGATCCATCAAAATCCCTGTGCGTGATATTCCAAATCTTTTATCTAAGATCTTCACCATTCGTGGAAGAACCCTACATGTGGTCGTATTAATGGTTAAAGAGGTTTTGTTGAGGTTGGCCACAGTAATTAATGGACAGTACTAGCTATATCCAGTCTCCTACCTAAACATTACTGCTAGCTATTTATAATTTCGACAAG